TAAGAAGCTGCTTTCTGACTCTGAGGGCCAACTCCGTGGCTTTTTAGACCACTCTGACTCTTGGAACCAATTTTCCCCTCATGTTGTCAAACTTGAATCCTAGAACAGAAAAAGGGAAGGTAATAGAACATGTACTGGCGATGCTGATACATCGTCTCTTCTACCCAGACAACAAGTGTGGAAAGAAGTGCTGCTTTGCCAGGATGAAATTGATCCTTAAAGAGGCTGAGTCACCTCTCAAGGTTGCACAGCTGGCAAGCAAGTGAGGTGGAATCCAAACCCAGATATGCCACCCCAGACGCTCTGCTCTGAGCCAGACATTCCCCAAGAGGCCAGGTGTATCACCAGTGTTCCCAGCCTGGGCTTTCTTCGCTTTCCCACAACTCCATTCCACCAACCAGAAAAGAGCTGTGTGCTTTTTCCATTTCAGGAAACCCAGCCCTGTGTCTTCTTTTAATATGTAATACTGAGAAAGGATGTGGCTCTTGTTCCAATTTTGCAGGGCTCCACGTGAGAGGGTTTCTTCTTCTGAGCAAGATCTCACTTTCCGCAGTCCCAGGTCTAAGTGTCATTTTCCAAACCTTGGGTCCTCCCTACATGTGCTATGGCTTAAATACAAGGATTCCCCCAAGACTCTTGTGTTGAGGGCTTGATCCACATGCAGCAGTGGTTAGAGGTGGCCCTAGAGTGGTGAGTGGGCTAATCCACCAATGAGTTCATAGCTGAACGTGCTGTTAGCAGGCAGGGCCTGGCTGGAGAAATAGGTCCCCAGGGTGTGGCTTTGAAGGGTCTTCTCTGGCTCTTTCTCTTTCCCTCTGCTTCCTGGATGGAGCTTTCCACTCCACGCCCTTCTGCCATGATGTTTTTGCCTCTCTGTGGCCCAAAAGCAATGGAGCCAGATTGAACTCTCTGAAACCATGAGCCCAAAGAAACCTACCTCCTCTGAATTGTGTTGTCAAGTGTTCGGTCTCAGTGATGAAAAGCTGACTAACAATGTCAAAGGCACAATAGCAGAGTACGTAAATGCTCGTGGCTTTGAAAAGAGGCTCAAGTTCTGGCTAGGCCATTCAGTAGTGCTATGAGCTTGGCTAAGTTACTTCAGCTCTGTGAATATCCAATGAGGATAATAATGCTCACCTCCAAGGCTGTTCACTTGATCTGCACCCACTTACTGAGCACTGTGTCAGGCCCTAGGGATGCAGAGTTACAAAGTTTAAGTGAAATAATACAGGTCCTGTGCTGGGTACAGGACCTATAAGAAAACAAAGGCTCAATTTTAGTGAGGAAGCATTGACTATAGAACAGAAGGTGCTTCTCCTGCAGCCATCCCTGTGCAGGGCCAGTGGGTCAGATGTACTCTGAATAGGGACTCTTGAAAGGACCTTGTGTGTGTAGAGGGGGGAGCTCGGTGGTAGAACACTTGTCTACTTGGGTGTGATCCCCAGCACCACACACACACACACACACACACACACACACATCCTTGTATAATTTGACACCTTTTTCTCTCCGCTGAGGCTGGCTCCAAATTTCAAATAATCTCGCAGCTCACATTTCTGGAGCCTTAACAGACTTTCCGAAGCATACCCATTCGCACTGTCACAACCGCCTCCTGAAGTAGCATCTTCAGGAGAGCATCGCTTTAGGGAGGGGGAAATGGAGACCCAGAGAGGTTAAGGAAATTGCCTGGAGCACACAGCTCATCATGGCAATGCTGGGCTCTGGACATAGCTCCCCTACTGCAGGGCTGGCCCTCCGCCTCCATGCCTGTCTCACGCACCCCACGGGGCTTGTCTCCGATCGCTGCTGCGTCTCACATCTATGCAGCTGGCTGAGCGGCTCAGGCAGCGGGTGCTTAGGAAGGCTGTGCACTTGGGAGCTTCTCCGGAGACCCTGAAATTCCCAGTTCTCCTTGGGGATGTCCTGCAGGTCTCCACCCTCACTGCACAGCCGTGTGTGTCCCTCTGACATCACTGAGACCAAACCTGCTCATCCGGAGAGGCAGTGCTGGCCCGGGAGGGAGGAGCTGGTGGTGAGGGAGGCCGAGGCCTGGCTCTGGGCTGGTGCCAGGAGGGTGGAGTCTGCTGTGACTCCTGCTCTGTGCTCCCCGGGCAAGCAGGGACACGGCCTTGCCTCACAGCGGCCCTGTGCCCACTTCAGTGGCCTGCTTGTTCTGTCTTGAAATTCTGCCTAAGTTTTGCAGCAGAGGCCCCACATTTCCATTTTGCAGTGGTCCCTGAATGAGGGACCCTGCTGGGACCCTGCTCAAACCTCTCAGCCCTGCTGTTCCAGGGACCCAGGGGAAGGGACATCAAGACAGGCGTGCTGAGTTCAGGGCTCATATTCCTAAGGGTAGAGCGTGCGGGGATGTAGGAAGTGGGAGCAGAAAGTCACAGCTTCCTCACCTGAGTGGGTATGCGTTGGAAAGTCTGTTAAGTGCTCCAGAAGTGTGGGCTGTGAGCTTATTTGAAATTTGGGGCCAGCCCCAGTCAGGGAAAAAAGGTGCTCAATTATACAAGGTGGTGTGTGTGCATGTGTGTGTGTGTACACACGCGCATCATTAGCCATTTAAAACCTGTTTTTTCAATTCCTCCCCCAGACAGGCAAGACCCTCAGACACCCCGCTGCTCACTGGTGAGGATGGCAGAGGTGAGGTTGGTCCAGCGCAAGGCAGGAACCTGCTCTCCCTGCCCCACAGGGCGCCAGACCAGCAGGTGGGTCCAGACGGATGGGAGACCTCGGCTCTGAGCCCCAGCTGGAAGCCCCATCTTACTGACTCCCTCCTTCCATCTCAATCCGCCAACACCAGCCTGGGACACTTGCTCAGGCAGGGGCAGTTTCGTCCTGTGCCCGCAGCCCGCCCTGTCCCCTTCCCCAGCTCCAGCCTCGAGTCCCCTGCCCCTTCCTGCCCTCCAACAGCCTGAGGTATCCCTGGGCCCTCTGTCCCCTTCGGCTCAGACAGGGCCGGCTGGTTCCCTGGCATCAATGCACGCCTGGTCTGCCTCCTGCCCTCTGCTTCCTTGCCTCCTTCCTGCTTCCTGCCCTCTCACCTATTAGAACTGCCAGACACCAGCATCGCATAAGCTTGGGGTTCCATGATGCCCTAAATGCAGGGCCACCTCATGACTTCCCGGGCCTGAGGTAGTTTTACTTTGTGGCTCCTTTCTTTTGTTAAAATTACATTTTACAACTGTGCTGGTATAAAATAGGTGTAATCAAGTCTGGACTGTATTCTTTTAAAATTATTTCTTGCTTAAAAATATATGCCTGGGTGTGGTGGTGCACGCCTGTAATCCCAGCACCTCAGGAGGCTGAGGCAAAAGGGTCACAAGTTCCCTCCAGCCTGGGCATCTGAGTGAGACACTGTCCCAAATAAAAAAATAAGAAATGGCTAAGGAGGTTACTCCAGTGGTGGAGCCTCCCTGGGTTCCACCCTCAGTATCATGAGAAAGAAAAACAGAAGCATTTTCATGGGTCCCCAAAGTAGGGTGGGCTTCAGGCGCTGCACTTCCAGAGCCATACGGAGAGGCCAGCTCTGCTTGGAAGGCTGCGTAAATTACAGCACAGCCCTGTTGAACTCTTTTCTCTCCACTAAACCATACTGCAGGTGCCATTTAAAAAACTATTCCTTTTTTTTTTTTGGTAAGGGGGTGAGGGGATCAAACTAGGGACCTTGTGGCGGAACCACTGAGCTAAATCCCCAGCCAAAAACTATTCTTTTTATTGGAAAAATATAGTTACAAAGAATATTCTTATGAAAAAAACAACCAACCGCTCCACCCATTCCTAACACTGTTCTTTCATATGGGTGACGTGCTCCCTCATCCAGAGGTGAAGCTGTTTTAGTTTTAATTTACAATTTAAAAAAAATTTTTTTCAGACAGGGTCTCACTGTGTAGCCCAGGCTGGTCTCGAACTTATAGCGATCCTCCTGCCTCAGCCTCCCAAGTGCTGGGATCACAGGCGAGTGCCACCACACCTGGGTCATGAAGCTGTTTTATACAGCTGTCCGAGGCATGCCAGGCAGTTTGTGTCCTGCTTTCTCCAGGTGACAGGGTTTCATGGGAAACGCTCCCCATGCTTCTGGGTGGTCTGCACAGCCCTCAGGTTGACTGCCAGTGGACTTTCCTGCTTGGCGGTTTCCCAGCTCTCCCGACTCCGACTGTAGTCTGAGCCTTCTGTAAATCCCCCTGCCCCGGCAGGGCTTTAACTCGAAGCCTGAGACTGGGCTTTGCAGATGGTTCTTCTGATGGTCACCAGAATCAGGGCCCAGTGGTCTGTTCCCGCCTCACTGCATCGCCTGCCTTTGGGGACCAGCTGGGCTAGGGGCCCCTGAACACTGAGCGCTGGGGACAGACCTGACTGTCCATGTGGACAGCACTGTGGGTGCCATCGGCCTGACTCCCTGACTTCACAGACGAGGAGACTGAGTGTCCAAGACCTTAATAGACTGGATCACAATCATAGAGGCAGTGAGAAGGGATTTGCAAGTTGGGTCCTTGGCCTCTGAAGATATTTTTTTGAGACAGGGTCTCACTATGTAGTTCAGGGTGCCCTTGAACTTAACACGTAGCCCAGGCGGGCCTCAGACTCATGGTGATCCTCCTGCCTCAGCCTCCCGAGTGCTAGGATTATAGACATGCACCACCACTCCCAGCAGCCTGCGAAGATCTGTACTCTTCCCTGACAACATGCTCTCAGGATTTGATAAAAAGCAACTTTAGTTTATGTTGCTGCCCCATTAGAATGTGTGCTTATGTTACAGAATTAGCTTTATAATTATTTTGTTCCCTGCTTTGCGTTAATATTACTCTGATGGGAAGAAAAAAGGAAAACTTCACAAGGCAACTGGAGCCGAGCCCACACTCTGAGATGGCCTGCCGTGTTCTGGGTGATGTGCTTAACTGACTCTCGATCGCCCTCTGAAAGGTCGCCTTGTCTCTGGGCTCTGCTGACGCACCTGTCACCGAGGCTTCCCACGTCCCGTCCCGGGATCTTACCTGTTCAGAGACAGGGAGCAGATCAGCCTTTGTCCCAGGATAGCCAGGCCGACGCTGGTGCTGGCGACCTGCAGACAGAGCGCTGGTTACTGAGGTCAGACAGAGCCTCCACCCAGCTTCCCTTGAGTCAGAAGATGTGGGTGTGAAAATCCTGCTGCTGCTCTGAAAATCCTGTCTTTCAGGTTGGGAAACTAACTCCAAAGGCTTATTGCTCAGGGGTCTCCATTAAATTAGTTTTTGCTTTTCACCTAATCTCCCAATCTCCTCTCTCTCCCTCTCTGATTTTGCTTAGGTTCATGTGTCAGTTCCCTTCCATCAGGCTGCAGCTGGACTTCAAGTGAACGCCAGTGACCTTGAGTTCCACACAGATGGTTTTATTTTGAGGAAAAAGAAATTCAGCCCCTTGGGACTGCAGTGGTGGGAAGGGTGTGGGCAGAAGAGATATGGGAGCCCGAAGTGCGGGGTGGAGCCCTGACCCCACATCCCTGGTCCCTCCCCAGGCCTCCCCGAGACAGGGAGACAGAGCAGGCCACATTCTCGGTGCTGAATAAGCCCCAGACCTGCCTGTGCTTCGATGCTGCTCTTAGCTGACTCCGTAATGCCTCTGCCGCGTGGGCCATGACAGTAACAGTGGGTGATGCTGGCCCCACACCCTTCCCCAGACGTGCTGTGAACACCCAGACCCCATCCTGGTGAGACTGTCTCTCTCCACACAGGGCGGCCTCAGGAGCAAGCTCTTTTCCTTTCATACAACTCACCGCACAGTGGGTGAGGCAGGCTGGTTTGGTAAGGTCCCAGCTCTTTCCTCAGCCCTAACTGGGGTGTCAGCCTCCCCGCAGGACCGAGATGCTTCCGGCCAGTTGGCCACTTCGGGAAAAGAGCTGACCCTTCCTGACTTACAAAGTCCATGGAGACGATGGGCTCCATCTCAGTGGCGTTCTGGGGCTGCGTGAACAGGACGGCGGAGGCAGGGATGTCCAGGCTGAAGTTGCCCGGCTGCAGGCGGACCACCGGCGGCTCCGTGGCCATGATCCGCAGCATGAGGGGCTGGAACAGGATGTAGAGATCCATAATCTGCCGGGTTCAGGGGAGAAATGGACACCAAGGGTCGTGAACTGATGAGTGGAAATCATGAATCTGGTGCTTGCGGGGACCAAGGCTCACATCACGCAGTTAGAATAGAGAGACCTCCCTAACAGTAACGGCAGCAGCACACCAAGCCCCATGGTAACAGCCATTTCTTCTACACACTGCATGCCAGCTCCCAGGCCAGGGCTTTGCGTCATCTCATCGAAACTTCGCAAGCCCCAGGGGGTTCTTATCAGTGTTGCTCTTTGGGACAGCAGACTCGAGCTGTGGAGAGGCCAGGTGACTTCCTCGAGGTTCTGGGAGAGGAAGCTGTGGAACTGAGAGCCGAACCTGCCCATGTCTAACTTGAGCTCCTTCCCCTAGGACACCTTTGTTCCCCAAGGCGAACCTGAGCCTGCAGACCTGTTATGCCCAGTACTTGGCCTGCATGAAGGTACGATATTAACAGGTAATTCTCAAAATTCACAAATGTGGGCATTAATCTTTTCCTTAAGGATTAAATCCTTTATAAAGCTAATGTACCCTTTATTTAAGCTCATTTTTTTGAGACAGGATCTTGCTACGTAGTTCAAGCTGGCCTTTAACTCACTATGTAGCCCAGGCTGGCCTCGAATGCATGGTGATCTTCCTGCCTCAGCCTCCTAAGTGCTGGGATCACAGGCATGCTCCACCACTCCTGGCTTGTATTTAATCTACTTACTTCAAGTGTGGTGGAACCTTGTGGAAGGAATAGATTATTTTATGAGTCTACAATGACTTTAATTGTAATGTACTTTAATTATACTTTAACATGTAGTGTTTAGTACGTGAGGATATTTGATTAAGAGGAAACAAGAACTCTTAAGAATGGAAAGATGGACTCATTCCTGGATCAGAAGGGAATATAATGAACCCACAAAGTCTCAGGAAATAATTGCAATGAAAACAAGCACATCGCCAAAGAGCTGAACCCAAGGCACTCACCCGGGAGAGTACGTTGCCAATCACTTGAGAGTTCTGAATTAAATGGTTGGAAATCTGAAATGCAAACACCACTGTGTCACTGCAAGGTTGGCCTGGATTGTCCTTTCAGGAAAAATGTGGAGTTCCCATAATTATATGAATGGTGAAGCTATTGTATCCTAAAATGTCGAGGTGGCCTGTCCCAACCCCAGGGAATCTGAATGAGTAAACCAAGAGAAGTAAACAGAGGAGTGAAGTGAGTTGCCCAAGGTCACACAGGAAGTTACCTTCCCTTTTACTTCTTTTTTGGTACCGAGGATAAAACTCAGGACCTTGTGCTTGGGAGGCAGGCGCTGGAACCACTGAGCTAAGTCCCCGGCCCAGTTACCTTCCCTTTTAGCGAGCACCTGTCAACCTTGGGAACCCTGTAGAATGAGGTGCAGTACTCATGCTCCATGTACAGGCATTCTACAGACATTGATGATGAGTCTTGCATCATTGTCTTTATTTTCTGAGATCACTGAGGTGCAGGATGCTCACGTAATTTACCTTCCCTAGTGAGTGGTTCTCAAGCCTGAAGCTAGCTTGAAGTGTCTCATTTTTGGCACCTTAAGATAGCTGGTGCTGCCACACTTACCATTCGGACAGAAAATTTATAACTTCTGGTATAATTGAGTCAAACAGAAGGAGAAGATTGAAAAGGGATGCTCAGTAAGTCTTAAATTAACTGGCCAGAGGGATAGTTCTCATTATACTCAGAGTCTGAGTGTCTGCACTGTTACGGCTCACTGCTAGTGATTAATCAGGTGTGGTCACCATCAGGAGGAACCCTGAGGCTGGTGTAACATGAGACTAATGTTGACGATAACACCAGTGACATGGACTTGTTGTGCTCTGGGCATTGGTCTGGATGGTATATCTGTATGTAAACCTGCGATGCCTGCGAAGACCTCAGAGAGAAGAGCCTCACCCTCTCCCCTTTCCAAATGAGGAAACATGAGGAAACAGAAACACAGAAGTTAAGCTAAATGACCAAGGGCTACAGGCAATAAGTGGTGGTGAGAGGCTTCGCATTAGTCACGATCGGTCTAGGGCAGTAGCCGGTTATCATGGAAAAACCAAAACCAGCAGAACTGGAAACCTAACCATTCTCCATCTAATAACAACATTCATTCCAAGATTCCTTCTCTCGTTGCCCTGCAAGGAGTGATTCCTAAAAAGGCCCAGGAATCACAACTATGACATAAAAATGCCACAGTGGGTGACGTCTGACATGACACATGGCGCCGCTGATGGTCACCACCTGCAAGCTCTGGTTACCTCCTTGGTGGACAGCGTGACACTGAATGCACCAGCGGTGAAATGAGCAAAGGACGCCGACCTGAAGAAGTGCTCAGAGATGCCGATGTAGAGCATGGAGTCAGAGCGCTCTGGGAGCTCAAAAGGCTCAGGAGAGAAGAGGGGGTCAGTGAGGTCTTCCAGCGGGTAGAACACGCCCTGCAGGAAAGCGAGAGGAAGATGGGTTATCAGGTAGAGCCCCCAGTTTGTGGACCAAGGGGCGCATGCTCTCCAGCCAGGCGAGGAGGACCCCAGAGGCTCAGGGGGAGAGGACCTGGGCCTTCGACCCCAGGCCAGGGACTGTGTTTCAAGGCTCGGATGATTCATGAGCACAGCTGGGCGTGTGTGTTCACCCCGGGGTGCAGCTCAGCCAGAAGCTCCTAGCTGATGAAGGATGGAGCTGCAGTTGGCTGGAGCAGCACCTCTGACCCATTCCTGGGGTGCCACTGGAAGTGTCAAGCCCCTGGCCTTCAAAACCTGTGACTGCCGAATCCCCACAGAGTCAGGAGACACTGAGAAGGGCCCAGGATTGCAATGCCACAAGGCATTTTGAGGAATTCCTAACGCTGCTCTCGTGAGCTAAGGGCATTGTTACAAAATGCTGTCTTGAAAACACTGAACTGACTGGGAAGACTGAGAGAAATGTCAACCAGGATGTGGTTTGAAAGACAATGGTAGTAACTTTGGGCAAAACTAAGCATGCACACGGCAGTGGCTTTTCTAGGATAAGTGAATGTGTTGTCCATGGGCTCCCGCCCCGAAGCAGGTCAGCAGCCCCCAGCTAAATCCACTACGATGAGAGTTAGGAAGACAAAAGCCAACTCACACAACCTAGGCGTGCATTACGTTCTACTAAGTGCAGACCCCTGTATCTAAGAGGCAGAGATACCCAGTGCTGCTCACAAAGGAGGCAGACGAGGCCAATAGTCATTTGCCCATCAAGAAAGGGATCAAGAGTTCAGAAGAGGCATCAACACGAGCGAGTTGCTAGAAAGAAAACTCAGTTGTTTGTGTGTATGTTTTCTTCCACACATAGTGTTTGTTCTCCAAGTGCTGTTGCTGTTGACAGTGGGGTGAGGATTCTGAGGATGATAAAGTTACCTTCAAATTCAGGTCGAGGTAGTGCTCAGTAATTTCTGGAGGGCTGATTAAGGAGTAATCCAGCAGCGTAAAGTTGTCGATCTTGGTTAAAACTAAATATCCAAAAAAAGAAAAAAAATTGGTATTCAATAAAGCTTAGTGTAAGATGAATAAAGGTCCAAACAGTACTTTTAGCTCTCTGTTTAAAATGCCAATTCTCTCCTTTCACAAGTAATAGATGCTTGCTTCTGAAAATTCAAGAAAAATAGATGAGTCAAAAGAGGAAAATAAACACCTTCCTCAATCATGTTACCTAAGAGAAACCTCAGTACAGTTTGGGGAATTCCTTTTAGGCACATGACCACATGCATGCATGTACACATACATACAATACATACATAGTTCTTTTCTTTTTTTGAGACAGGGTCTCGCTATGCATTTCAGGCTGGCCTCAAACTCGGCAGTCCATCCTCCTGCCTCAACCTTCCAAGTGCTGGGATTGCAGGCATGAGACACCATGCCTGCTGTATATAGTTCTACTTTAGAAAGGTAACTCGCACAAAGGACCTAACCAATATTGGAGCATATATATCAGATTAAGAACCTTTCAAATTCAATGTTACACATTTCAATGCAGTTAGAACTTCACTTTTTTTCATAATGAGCATGCATTACTGTTGCAATTACAAGTAATTGTTTAAAAAGTGAGACATTGTAAGAGAGAAAATAAAAGCCATTGAGTTAGAGAGGCCAGGAAAATTCTCATGCACAGTGCTGCAGTTTTAGATTAGCATTTTCAGACCAACACAGAAGGCCAGGGGACCAGGGTGGTCGTGGGCAGAGTTCCAGGGCAGAAGCTGAGGCCTGGCTTTCTGCCTGGGGCTCCGGAGAGCTGCGTCCCTGCCACCCACGCGGTCTGTGCCATGAAGACTTCCGCCTGCTCTGAGACACCCGGGAGCCACAGCAACACGCAGGTTTATTCCAGATGGAGATGAGAAACAGGCTATGGTGGTTGCTTCTTCTCCCTCCTCGCCTTACCAGTCTGCCTGCCCCACACTCATCTCCTTTGGTCCCTGAGCAGAGTCCATGAACCTGGTGTGGCCGAGGCCCTGGCTGGTGCTGGGGACAGGGATGGTCAGTCCTTCCCCTGTGCACAAGGAGCAAACATGGCACCGCAGGCAGAGCGGGTCTCGGGTGGAGTCCAGGATCCGGGACAAACCAGTCCCTGTTGTCTCCAGCTGAGGAAGTGCACCCTCCATTCCCCAGTTCTCCAACCTCTCAGGGTCTCTCTCGTCTGCTCTCAGGGCCCTCAGTGGTCCCTTGGCAATGCTGCTGCCGACCTCCCTGTGTATCCGGAAGCTGGTCCTGTCCCCCAGCCCCACCGCCCCACGCCGGCCGGCTGCTCCCGTGGGTTGCTGCACTGGTCTTCGTGGCCTCCCTGCCCTGGCCTCCTCCTCTTCCTGCTATTAGCACAGAGCCCACAGCTCCCCAAGCACAAACTGAGCCCTGCAGCCTTGCTCAGACCTCTCCGGGCGTCCTGCCTCGGGCTACGGGGCAGGTTTGCAGAGGTGCCAGAGCCTGAAAACCTAACTGTGCCTAGCCTGTCTCTGCCTCAGCCTTCCACACTTCCCCGGGCTCCCAAGCTCCCTGTGTGGATGGCCTCTAAGAGACAGTTAGGCCATGGTGCCCAACCTGGGATGGACACCCCAGTCCCCGGGTGCAGTTTGTTACAGATGCAGCCAGAGTGAAGCCCTCCGTGCCTCACACACTCACTAGCCCACTGCTGGCCCCTCTATGATTTGGCTGCATTATCTTAGGAGTCTGACCGAAGCTTTCTGTGACTCAAATGGGCAGGTCAGACAGCAGAGCTGGGCTAGTACTGCTCCCACGCTAGCGGCTGCTACCAAGATTTAAATCCTAGTCCGGGAAGTAGCAAGGTTTGGCTGAGTTCACTTCCAGTTGACCAGACAAGGTTAACTTGACTCCAACTAAATTCTTCCCCTCTGAATTTGCCGTTTGTTCTCTCCAGTAAAGATGAGCTGGTGCCCCTGCCCGCACTTGTGACCCGCCGGTGCCCTGAGCCTGCCCGCCTCCCCTCCTTCCCAGCTCGTGATGAATAAACACGGGGTGTCCTCGGTGCCTTTTGTCTTTGCTGCCAGAGCAGCTTCGGTCAGCCTGAGCCCCAGCTGTCTCTTGAGGCTCCGTGCCTGGGTCTCTGCCCTGCAGAGCTCTTCAGTGACCTCCCTTTTGGGGCCAGGTCTGGAGCAGCTCCACCCTACTTCCTTTGGGCTCTTCCTGCAGTGTCCCCTGCTCAGGAGTGGCTCTCCTGCCGCATGCTCTGAAACAGAAACTCTCCTCTGCCGCTCTCTGCTTTAGCTGTCTTCCCCACCACAGCACAGATTTGCTGGCCTGTCTGGGCTGTCTGCTCCTCCCAGGCATCCCCAGAGGTGAGGATTTCTGGCTCCTCACATCCAGGCCAGTGCCCAGCCGATCCCAGGTGCTCAGGACTTTGGTGAAGGAATGGATGGAGCGCAGAGAGAGAGGTGTAAGGTTCCAGTGCCCACAGGAGGTAACCCTGTTGGATGTGGCTGTTGGGTAAGGTTCCTGGAAGACTCGGAAGAGACCGGGCCTGAGCTAAGTCTGAGATGAGAGTGAAGAGGGCAGGAAGGCTGAGGAGTGGAGGGGAAGGGCTGCGACCTACAGGGAGCAGTAGGGTGTGGGAGTCCGTGGACACAGGGCCCGGAGCTCCTCCAGGCGGAGCGGGCCTTGCCCAGGGCAGGGCGCCAGGGGAAGCGGAGCCGTTTGATGGCCACAGAAGAGAAGCTGCATAGGAAGCAGGGGCAGGGAGCAGAGCCTGTGTGCGGCCCCTCCTGGGGTGCCAGGGAGGTGTGTGGACTTGACACTGAAGGCGGCCACGGGGAGCAACCTGGTCGAGGTCAGAGTCAGTCATCCTGCAGAGCTGGGCTTGGTGCCAGGGCTGGGGTTCGAGCTGCTGTTTGTCTGGCTTCTGACCAGCACCCGGAGCCCCTCCTCTAGTGGCAAAGTCGCTTAGTAGCCGGGAGCAGAGCCGTGCTCAGGCCGTGTCCTCCACGAGTCCTGGGACTTTAGTTTGCAGGGCAGCTGGGCGTGGTAGCACAGGGCAGGTGGATCATTGCGAGTTCAAGGCCAGCCTGGGCTACACAGTGAGACACTGTCTCACGAAAAATCAAAACCAGAACTAAAAGCGCAGGGTGGAAGGAGACGGGGAAGAGTGGGTGTTCTGTGCCTCAAAAAGCAAAGCTGGAGGAGCAGATTTGAAGGTGGGGTACGCGCCACCCAGGGACCCTGTCCTGAGACTCACCCTCCAGGGAGCTGAGGTTGGCATTCAGCACTTCTGCTTCCTCCGAGATAATGGGGCAGAGCTGCGACAGAGGGACAGAAACAAGGGCTTCAGCAGCCTGGAGCCAGGCCTCCTGGAGAGCAGGCGGGATCTCCACTCACTGGGGCTTCCCGAAGTTGGCTGAGCCCTGGGAGGGGCAGCCCAGGAGCACTGCTCTGCCCCAGGGCAACCTGGGCCGCACCTGCAGCCACCAGGCAGGTGTCAGGTCTGAGCCACTGTCACACCCGGGAACTGTGGGGTGCCACCCCCACCTCTGTTGTGGCTCCGTGCCTCGGAATGCTGCAGCCTGACCCATCCTTTCCCCGGGCCGGCTGGAGCCAGAGCTGTTAGAAGTCCAGCCTCGCCCCTTTGTGAGTGGCCTGCAGTGTGTCCTTGGGGAGGGCTGAGGCCTGGTGCCATGTGCTTGCTGTATGCACCCGGTGCACTGAGCATAGGGTGCGCATCATGGGAGGCTGACGCCAGGGGCTGATTCCCTCAGCGAGTTACTCGAACAGTGACTCAGTTTCCTCGCCTGCAGTGTGAGGATGAAAACACTGTCTACTCACCAAATTCTACATAGGAACTGAAGTGATCTATATAAAATTGTCCAGCGCTCAGCAGTGTTGGCTGTCACTGCCACAGTTCCTCCCTCCAGCTCTGAGCGGTAGGAACAAGCGGGCAAAGCAGAGCTTAGCTGGGCTCTTGAGTGCCAAGATCACACAGCCGGTGTGAAGCTGGGGCTGCACAGGTGGGCTCTCTCCTGCTTCCCCATTCCCAGAGGGAATCAGAGAGACAAATTGTGTGCTATCGATCAGCCACATGCAGACTCCAGGCAGACTTAACGGTGGCTGCTGTGGCAGAAGTTGTTCTTTGCTGCCTCCTGTCTGAGGCCAAAGGACAACACCCTGCCCTTAGTGCTCCAGTGTGGGGCCCTGCAGGGCAGGGTGGAGGACCCCGGGAAGTGGCAGCGGCTCTGCCCACATCGCCCTCTTCTGGAAGCTGCTGATTTCCCGGAGCCCGTGTTCCAAAGTGCTTGCTGTCGGCATAGTGCAGACCGGCACTGGCGACATGAGAGAGCCACCCCAGCGTCCTTTACCAGTCCTCCCCATCGGTCCTCATCTGCCCCAAAGGTAAGTAAAGGGCTCAGGAAGGTGGAGCTGGGATTGGAAAGAGAACGCTTGGCCATTTCCATCTTTTCCTTCCTCAGATACTGACGTCTGGATTCAGGATGCTCACGGCTCTGGAGGGCATCTTCCTGCTTGGTTCGATTTGTTCTCATTCTCTCTGTTGGGAATCTCTTTTCCTCTTTCCCTTTCCTTACCTACCCAAATCCTAGCTCTACCTGAAGGCCCAGTCCAAGTCCCGCATCTCCTAAAAACGTCTCCCAGCACTCTTCTGGGCCCTATTTCTTTAACTTCCCATTCCTCTGCACCCCTCAGTTCAATCAAGTTGTCATGCAATTATGCACTAAATTCAAGTCCTCGTTAACTTATTGTTTCCCAAGCCCAGGTTTGGTTTTGCTAGATAGACAAATTTATTCCTCCTTTTAGCCCCTGCAGAGCCTGGTCCAGCGCTGGCCACTTAAGGGGCCCAGAATAAGCAGATTCTTGTTGCTTGCTTGCCCATCCATGGCAGGCAACTTGAGGGCAGGGATGTCGTCTTACTCCTCCCTGCAGCCCCAGTGCCCACCACAGTGGTGACTCACAGCACACAGCGTCACTAAGCAGCAGAGAGTAATGTGCCTGCAAGTGTCCTGATGGGGCCTGGCACACAGCAGGGGCTCAATAAAGGCTCGCTGACTGCGAAAGTTAAAGGACAGCAGACCTGCTGCCAATGCCTGTGGTCTTGTCCAGCCCTGAAGACTTACCATGGCATTTAAATTCCTTAGGATGGGCTTCTCCATGGGCTCAGCAAAGGTGTTATACAGGGTGCTGGGGACGGAACAAAAGAGCCTCCTCAGGACCGCAGGGGCGGCAACCAGCACCCCGCGGTGCTGCCCAGAGTCCCACCATGCTGCTCTCACCTCAGGTCCCCGACAAAAGACACGTGGGCATGGCTCACTTGGGCATAGCAGTCCTGGAGCTTCAGGGCTGGGTGGCCCAAGGCATTTTGGGTCAGGATGATGACACCCGTGAAGTAGACTCCAGAGAGGAAGAGGTCAGCTCCACCAGCATCGTGGCTGTTTGGAGAGGAAGTGTCGTGAGGTCTGGGCCTGGGCCGGGCAGAGAGACCGAGCTTGTGTCTGAGTACATGGATTGTGGGGCACGACACCGTCTCTCTGCTATCTGGGAGACTGGGGCTCCTAGGTGGGGAGGTGGGGTGTGGCAGGCGCTCTGCAGGTGGCTGTGGAATGAGCTAGTGGGCAGGTGTGTGGCTCGGGTCCAGCTGAGGCCCCTGCACCTGCACCGGACAGCAGGCACTGAATCTGTAGTCAGAGCTGTTCCTCCACCTCTCAGGACACCTTAAAAGGCATTTGATCCATCAGCCATTCTGCTTCTAAGGGCCCGATACAGCTCCCCACCCCCTTCCAAGCAGAGATTTTGATTTAAATCACAGCTGGAGAAAACGCTCCTGAGAGGGATGCTACTACTGAAAGAAGCTCAACGGCTGGGTGCATGCCTGTCATCCCAGCACTCAGCAGGCTGAGGCCTGAGGGTTGCTGGGAGCTCAAGGCCAGCCTGAAGTGCATAATGAGACCCTGTCTCAAAAAATAAAACCGAAACAGAAAGCAGCCTGACACTGACCGTCTTGGCGGTGAGTTTATGAATGTCTGCACTCTGGGTTTCTGTGCCGCTCTGGCCCAGAGCAGCAGCGACGTGAGTGGGGTACTCACAAAAGTGTGGCCCGGACTTCCCAGTTGGTGCTGATGTTGGCGGTGCCGTGGTTGGTCAGCACTCTGATGCCCACCCCGGGCACGAAGGCTAATGAAGTATTTGGAAATGAAAAGGCGTTGATTTTTATGCTGTAAGACAAGAAAGGGGCAAGTTAGGGCGACTCTTCCGCGTAGTTCCAAGTCAAGCCGAATTAGGAAGGCCGCAGTCAGACTCAGGGGCAACTGTGGATTCCCGGCTCTCCTTCTGCTCACCAGAAAGCCCCTGCTCCCCAGTTGAGGGGAGAAGTGAGCACATTTGGAAGGAAACTTGCAAATCATCAAGCAACCTGCTTCTTTAGGTCAAAGCAAAAACAGGTACAATGCTGTTTGCCTCTTTGGCAGTTCCACTGGTCCGCAAAGGGGTGATACTTGGACATGGGATGAACAGCCGTGGGGCCGGGGTTGTTGTGCACATTGCAGGACACTTGGGCCAAGTGTCAGCAGTGTCGCTCCCCACGAGGCTGTCACCCTGAGTGTGCAGCCTTCTCCCAGACTCCCCCAGGAGAGGCTGGCTGAAGAGGTCAGCTTCCCGCGCTTCCCCAGCTGGCGACAGGAACCCTAGGTCCCCGGAGGCTGGGTGCTGGTGACCTCGGCAGGCAGATGGCCACACTCCCAGTGACAGGTTCTTCTGGCCCTCCATGGTGTGACTGCTCCCTGCCAGGCACAGGTGAGCTCATCTCATGCGCGGGGAGGCGGTTGCTGTTTCTGTAATCTCCAGCTCAGAGATGAGATGACAGAAGCTGCTGAAGTCTCACAAAGGCGGTGGAACCAGACCTGGAGCTGCCCCAGCCTGACTTCAGACTGCTCTGACCACCAGGCCGTGCCGCTTTCCGGTCCTGAAAAGAGCACTTGACTAGGAGCCAAGCTTTGTCCTGGCTGTGCAACCCCAGGCAAGAGACTTGTCCTTTTCTGATCAGTCCCTCCGAAGCCCGACTCAAAGGCACACTGGGAAGGAGAAGCAGGCTCATCTTGTGTAAGCGCAGCACAGAAGAGCGGCGTGGTTATGAACTATGGCTTGGGGAAGTTCAAAACATAACTAGGATCACCAAAACCTGAGTCTTTGCTACTTCCTGTTCTACACATCCTTTCCTACCTATTCGCTATTGTTCATCCTGAGTTCCACTTCGGGGACAGAATGGAGGATTCCTTTAATACATCTTGGAAATACTTTTGTTTTATTTTTTGTAACTGCTGGAGAGTATTCCAAGCCTTTATCCGTGCACCTGCTGACAGACACTTAGGCTGATTCCATATCTTGGCTGTTGTTAATGGTGGTGCAATAAACACACAAATAAATGCAGCTGCTCCTTCACGCAGTGGTGTGGTTGCTGGATTACATGGCAGTTCTGTTTCTAGTTTTCTGAGGCGCTGCCGTGCTGTTTTCCATAACAGTGAGACTGACTTACACCGACCGGCAGCATAGGGGCGTTCCTTTCTCTCAAGCACATCAAAACAACATTGAGATTGCATCTCCAGAAAGATTGGCCATCCTCAAGAACTTGAAAAACAACAAAGGCTGGTGAGGTCATAGGGGAAAGGAACTCTTCCACACTGTTGGTGGGAATGGGAACTAGTACAACCACTGTGGAATCAGTGTGTAAAGCACACGTGATAGCCGCAACCTTAAGGAACCGCGTGCAAAACCAGTGTGGAGAGTCCTCAAAAGAACTAAAAGTAGAAATTCCACTGGACCCAGCTGTATCTCCTCTGGGCATCTTCCTGAAAGAGTCAAAGTCATCATATTACAGTGATCAGTGCACACCCATGTTTATGGCTGTGCAACTCACAATAGCTAGATCTTGGAAGGGGCATATATGACCATCAACAGGTGAATGGATCAGGCCGAGGATTTAGCTCAGCAGGGCACAGTGCCCACCTGGCAAGTGCAAGGTCCCGAGTTTGATCCCTGGTAAAAAAAAAAAGGAATGAATAAAGAAAATGTGGTATTGGCTGGGGATATAGCTCAGCAGGGCACAGTGCCCGCCTGGCAAGCGTGAGGTCCTGAGTTCGATCCCTGGTACAAAAAAAAAAAAAAGGAAACCTCTAGGTATTATAGAAGGTTATTATTCACAGCCGGGAAACTACAGCTCCAAAGCATTGGGGTAGCAGAGGATTTGGGGCAAGTCGTGACTCTTGGTCTCAGAGAGCTCCTATAAAAGCTTGACTCTCCCTCCCCTTTAAGACCAAACCCAAGACTGGTGAAGACATCCTCTCCCTGTCCTCCTTTAGGACTTATGATCAGCCATGCTTCACTGCTGGCTGCCGTCCAAGCATCCATTTTCTCTTTCTTTGAAAGTAAACATCCCTGAATTTATTGGGGATGACAAAGTTGCCTGATTGAAAATCTAATTTCTCAGTCTCCTCTGATAACAAATCTGTGTATTGTTTTTGGCAGAATCTTATTAGAAAAGAGCTTCAGGGGAAAAGCTCACTAAAAGAGGGACACTGACTCAGCTCCTAAGACAGCCCTTTCACCCTTGCACTTCCTCCTTCCAGCTGCATGAAACATGGATTTGATGGCTGTAACTGCAGCAGCCATGTTGGGCCATGAGGCAGACTTGAGAACAGATGTCCAGTGTTCCCCTGGCTCTTTTACTTACTTTGAAAAATTGTAGTTCACATAATCAATCTTCAGAAATTCAAGAGTTTCAGAGCCTTTTAAATCTGAGATGTGCTTTTCTTTTACCATTTGCTCCATCATCTCCATCCCAGCTCGAACACCTGAGAAGGAGACAGGCAAAGGTCTGGAGATAACAGCGAAGGTGGTGACGGTGAAATATCAGTGACCACGCAAACACGGTGCGCTGAGCACAAGACCCTGTCGGAGGGGAGAGCAGCCGCCGCTGGGCCTACTGCTGCCACTTGGTACTGGGAGGCTCCGTGCCTCATCCGAGCCAGCTGGCTCCAGACTCCCTGCGCTCTGCCCGAGTCCAGAGAGAGATTCTGCCTTCAAGTTTCTTTCCACATTCTTGTGGGTCCGAAGTCCATGGTGCCTTGGGAGCTCTCGGCCCGGCTAAAACCCTAATAACGGGCGCACACTATTTACCTTGGAATTCACACCACTTTAGAGGAGCCCAAGCCCCTTTGAGATCAAGCCTCTCTGAAGCTCGGAATGAGTGGAAATTGCCCCTGCAGCGCACACTTATGTGGGGCCCTGGGTGTCACCGTGTGGGGAGGCCCTGCTGGCATGTGCCACCCACGGGCAGCTGTTTCAGGCGACGCTTTCTTCCCGGCCACCCCGGGGCCCCTGCCGTAGAGTCTGTCCCAGTCCCAAGCCAGCCTGCGCTGTGAGCTGTGAGAAGAATCCCCCAGGGGCCGCAGTCGGGCCGAGGTCCCCACTCACCGTAGTCCAGTGCCCGCTGAGTGACCCTGGCCTTGATCCCCGGGTAGGCGGCCTGGGTGGCTGAGATGAGGAAACGCCACAGGAGCAGGCATCCCCAGAGGGCCGGGCCCATCTCGGCTGGCACCTGCAGTGAGCAGCACACGGCCCTTTGTCTCCTGCCCTCCCTCACGACCGTGCCCACCCAGCGTCCCATGCACCCCATATCCGTCCATGTGGCCGCCTTCCTCGGACCCACCGAGGCCTCCGTCCAGGGAGTGGGTACTGAACACAGCAGGACAGCGAGCTAGCACATGGGGGCCAGGCCAGCCCCAGAGTCCTCCTCTGTGAGTGTCCCATCAGCCTCTCCTCTGTGCTCCTGCCCCTTCCATGCGATGCACGCACACCGGCCCGAGTGTGTGACTCACGGGTCAGCAGCAGGGGCTCTCACCGCCTCCCCACAGCCCTCCCTCAGGCCAGCATCACTGTGCAAGGACGCTTGCCATGGCTCCCTCCCGTGTCTCTGCTCCACCTTCATCCCCTTCTGGCTGCTCTCCACCCACAGCCGGCGTGGGACTGTGAAGATGCAGGCCCACCGTGTCACACTCCAGACAGCCAAGCCCTGCGCTCCCTCCCCTGACGCCGCTGCGGCCCTGTCTTTTGCACAGCCCCTCTGCCTGGCACAGCTCTGCCCACGCCACGTGCCTGGCTCTTCGGCCCCTTCCCGCAGCCTGGTGGTCCTTGTGCCTCCCTGGATTTCTTCCTGCCCAGAGCACTCCTCTCTAGCCCAGCACCGAGCTGCCAGCTTGTTTATCGTCTGCTTCCCCTACTTCCGAGCGGGAAGGAGCCCACCCCTCCAGCTCTGTGAGCGAGACTGGCACACAGCAGGTGGTGGGTGGGCACTGAGCTACCAAGGGTGGACCAGCGAGTATCACTTCCCTGGCCACGACCTAGGTCAGCGGTGTCCTCTGGGTTCCACTGAGCCCAGGGAGTCCCTGGCCTCAGTGTGTACCGTGCTTGTCTTTGGAGGCATCTCTCTGTCCCAGGGGCCAGGGTGCCTGGCTCAGATCCGACTCAGGAGACCCTATTAGCCAGCTGCTTGGGAGGCTGCGTGGGAGGACCGCAGGTTCGAGGCCAGCCTGGACAACTTGCAGGGTGCTGCCTTACAGTAGTGACAGAAGGGCGGGGGTGTAGGCCAGTGGGGGAGCAGTGGGTTTAATCTGAGGAGGATAAAACCCGCCTCTTGTTTAAACAGCTCCCCCCAGGAGAGGAGAGGCTCCGTGCCCCGCCCACTGTCTGGCCCCAGCCTTGCCTGGGTGAGTAACCCACGCATGCTCGCATGCTTGCCGCATCACTGCTGCCCATGCTCTTGCTGAAGCTCTGCGGCTGACAGCTGCGGTGACGAAGATCCTTTGATGACTGGCCCTGTAACACAGTCGCAAGCCTTGGTTCTGGTTCTGAGAGTTTACAACCTGGGCGATCTATCACTGCCGCCTCTGCTCGCACCCAAGACCCGCAGGTGATCAACACCACTGAGCTAACACGCGTGCGTGCGCGCGCACACACACACACACACGCACACGCGCGCGAAGGAGGTCAAGGAAATTGAGAGCCTTGCGCTCAGACACAGGGAGGGAGTGGCCAGGGGGCTGGATGAGGACCGGAAAAGGAACTAGGACCTAGGAGCAGCCTGCGTGCACACAGAGGTGGGAGGCTTCCCTGAGGGTGTTGCCATGGAGACGGGAACACCATGCTGTGCAGAGGGGTCTTTGGGGAACGCGCTTGGAAGTTGCAGTGCGGTCTGATTAGGACAGCGAGTGTCAGGGGGGCTGTCGCTGGGCTTAATTGGGCCTTTGGCGGAACAGTCAGGGTGCCCTCGGGAGAGACGCCAGCCCGCTGGAGAGTGGGGCCTGTGAAAGGTGCCTAGGAAAACAGCACACAGGGGCGCGGCGTGGCGGGAGGGCTGGGCCCGCACCCTGGGTGGCATTTCGCCCAGTGCACCAGGTCAGGCCTGGATGTGCAGCTGGGCTTGTTACCGAGGGCCCTGCGGCTTAGAATTAGGGTCACGACTGCCGGGCACAGGTCGGCTTCAGATCACCTCTCCTGGCCTCCCAGGTGCCTCCTCTGAGCACCTGTGGTCCAACCAAGAGGAACTCCTGTCCCCAAGCACGTGCTGCGTGTCCCACCAGTGCGGTGCCCTCTCCCAGGGCCTGCACAGCCCGTGTCCTCTGAAGGTCGGCTCTGAGCACCAGATTCTTCCTGACTCCCAGAGCTACTCTCAGCCCTTCTTGACCTCAGCTAGAGTAGACATTTGCTCCCGAACGCCATTTACTTTCTTGCTCCCTGCCCACCTCCTCTCCCAGAATGCTGGGCATGACGGCAGCAAGTGACCTCACCTGCAGGTCGGGCTCCGTGCCGGGGCACCGTGGGCAACTGTATGGGTATGGAATGACTCAGCGAGTCAGCAAGGAAGGAGCAGCCCTGACCCCGTCCTGCACGGTGCCAAGGTCTCCGCCTAGGTGATGACACTACACTGGCACACTCCCAGAGCACAGCACGTCACGTCAGCGCTGATGTCAGCCGGAGCCCTGGGCGGGATTCCCGAAGCTGGCCCTCTGGCTGAGCTGGGGAGGGGGCGTCCAGGCACCTGGGGAGCAGGTTAGGACAAGATGGATGGGACTAGGGGAGGGCGGAGCAGCCAGGGCTCAGGTCAGTGGAGAAGGGTCCCGCCTGTAACAAATGCAGGGCCATGCAGACTTGTGCTCACTCTGGGTTCTGCCGGGGTGGCCCTGGGGTGCTCTGGGAGTGTGCAGGACATCTTCAGGGCAGTGGACAGTAAGGGAAAGAACGGCGCAGCAGAAAGTCCGTACCCACTGCCCCATATTAAGGAGAAGTAAAAATTCACCAACTGCAGCACAAGACTCTGGTTAGCCAAGAAAGGTTCCAGAAAAGGTTGAGGTGGGGGAGAAAAATAAACCAAAGTGAAGACATTACTCACTAATGTGATGACAACCCAAAGAATAAGTTTGCATTTCTTTACCACTTACAGAACTCAAAGGCAGCCGGGGATTTAGCTCAGTGGTTTCACCACCTGCTGCACAAGCACAAGGACCAGAGTTCGATCCCCAGTACCAAAAAAAAAAAACAACAAAACATCCACATCCCTGGGCCCCTGGGAGTCAAGTCTTGCTCTTCAGGCTTCTGATTCATATATGTATATATGTAAATTCACTGCCTAGAAATGCTAAGTTTCAATTTTTTACCTGGGAATTTTAAATATTTAAAATTTAAATAGGGAATTTAAAATTCCCAGATGACATATACCATCTTTAATATGGAAATATTCAATATACATCTGGAAATTTTCAAGGGTCAAAGTACAGTCCTCCTTGTGTTTTCTTGGGCATAGATGCAGTTTAAGTTCTTTCCCAGCGGTAAAGCCCATTTTTCCCGGTTGTTTCTTTTGGGGCGGTGTTGAGACAGTCTTGCTATGTAGCCCAGGCTGGCCCTGAACTCACAGTGATCCTCCTGCCCATGTGTTGGGATCACAGGTGTGTGCCACCACACCTGGCTCCCTGGTTGATTCAAGGGTGGTTTCTGAAGCAGTATACTTTAGAGAAGGTCCAGGAGCCCAAGTTGTAGACAGAAAACTGTGAGTTTCCCCAGGAATTTCATGAGTGAATGAACCTGGGGTGGAAAGGGTGGACTGTGTGAAACTCGCAGTGGGGTTGTTTGGCGAGGGTGATGATTTATGGGCAGGGGAGGAAAGCAACCTTGTCCAGCAGGGCAGTGACTCCCAAAAGTTTAAGTAATTGGCTGACAAGTAAGGACAGGACGAGCCACCTGTAAAAGGAAGGATCCCAGAGGACTTCAGAGTTGGTAAAGCAACCAACAAGTTGCCTATTCCATTGCTCCTGAAGAATTGTTTCTTTCCAGGAGTCAGAGCCTTTGAAGTTCCTACATGTCTGTGCCAACAGACAGGCAGAAGGGGCCTCCTAGATTAACGCCCCTGCCCGAGCCAGCCCAATGGCCAGGAATAAGGAAACACAGGTACAATTTGGAAAACTCCTGAGACCCACAGCTCCACTCGGCTCTGCTGCTCGCTGGTGAGCGCTTTGATAGGTCTGGAAAAGCTGCCTGAGGGAGGGAAACGGGAGTGAACTGCAGCCTCAGACACAGAGGCCGTGTTGGAGAGTTTCAGCTCAAAGGTTTAAAGGTGTCTTGCTCTCCGGGTGTTCCAGCTCACCAGGCAGACAGAAGGACTGAAGGGACAGGTGGGGAAGGCGGGCAGCCCCGGGGAATACTTCAGGGACTCAGCCTTCCCTCCGATTTTGTAGCAAGATCTCCAGTGCCGCAGGACCCTGGGAATCCCTGCCGAGCCTTCCCCTCAAAACACCAAGCTGCGCACTGACAAGTCCAGCGATGGAGGTGGCAGCGGGCAGTTGTGCTCTGGCAGGATCTGGGCCACTGATATGGCTTAAGACCCAGCTCCAGGGGACAGACACGGAGCAGCTGCTTAGTGCTAGCCTCACCGACTGAGAGCAGGACAGCACTTCTGCTGTGAGCAGCTCACCTGTGACATGAGGCACGGCTGCGTCCAGAGCCCTAAGCAGCCCTGAGCCCAGATGGCGGCAGAGTTCCAGGTGGGCAAGGTGCCACAGAATAAACAGGCAGAGCCAGGGCAAACCTAGGAGATGCTAGGAATAACCCAAGATCTGGGACAGCCGGCCCTGCAAGGTGTCCTACCGGATCCAGGCGACCCGCAGCAAGTTGGCACCTCGTGGGCTGGCCGAGGCCTGGGGCTTGAGGGCTGTCACTCAGGCCCGGGAACAGCCAAGGCTGGGGAGCACTGTCCTTCCCTCTGCTGTGAGGCCGATGTGTCCTCCACCTGGCCTGATCGCCGGGGAAGTGTCTGAATCATCGCTCTGGTGGCTTCTTCTTAAATGCCTCTTTCAAAATGCGATACAGGATTGCTTCACACCATTACCCAATGGCCTGAATGAACGCTACCGACTCTACCCAGATGGGCGGACAACGCCACGCAGGCGATGGCTTCCTCCTTACAAGGTGCACGCAGACACACGGAGGCACACAGACACACCACCTTTGTGAAAGTATTTCCACTACTTTACCAAAATGACCAAGTCAAGACTTCTAGGGTTTGAAAACAGATGCCAAGAAGGTGGCCTAGGGCTGGGGATTTAGCTCAGTGGCACTGAGCTGCCTCACAAGCGCAAGGTCCTGAGTTCAATCCCCGCTACCAAAAAAAAAAGAAGGTGGCCCGGACCCTTGCGATGGTGTCAGAGCAGGCCAGGAGCACGAGGCCTGGTGAGCGGGTCAGCGCTCTGGGTCCTGCGTGTGCGCCTGCACTCCAGGAGTCGGCTCCCGCTCGGAACGCTGCCGGTGCCGTCCTGCCCCCATGTTTGTTTGGCACAGTGCGGAGAGACTGTCACCGTCTGACTGAATGTGTCCGGATGCGAACCTGCCCCACTCCAGCCGCCTCTCAGCCCGTAAGTACTGTTGGGTGGTTGGGGATCTGATTGCATCGTGGGTCTTAGGTCTTTTTTCTTTTTTGCTGGTGCTGGGGACTGAATCCAGGGCCTTCGCACTGAGCTCCATCCCCAGCCTGTTTTTATTTTTTATTTTGAGACAGGGTCTCACTAAGTGTCTAAATTGCCCAGGCTGGGCTTGAACTTGAGGCTCCTGCCTCAGCCTCCCAGAGTGCTGGGATCTTATGTCTTATCTGAAACTTTCTGGGTGAGATAGAGTCACAAGTTTTTCTGGTTTTCCCGGGACGCATGAGTTTTAGTCTTAAAACCAGGCAGTTTTTTTTTTGTGGTGCCAGGAATTGAACTCAGGGCCTTGTACTTGCCAGAGAGGTGCTGCACTGCTGAGTTTTTAAGGCAGTTTGGCTCCCCAGCTGGAACCCCAGGCATGCTCCCGGCGTTGTCCAAGTGCTGACATGATCAGGGTCCCTCTAAAGCATCCTGAGTTACACTCACCCGTATAAATGGATTCCTTCAGGGTGAAATGGGAATACAGTTGTATCTGGGAGGCCGGGCTCTGGTACATAAACAGCCAGGTGACATGAAAACAGTCTGCCAAGGCTGTGAAGCGCTGCATGGTTTTGGTCACCAGTGTGTGGCCCATCAGTGGTGGCCAAGCCTGCAGACAGCCTCCACATAGAATCCCTTCCTGTCACAACAGCCGGTTCTGCGTTAAATCAGCAAACACTCATGGGCACTCTGTACAGAGTCCTCCTTCGCAGAAAAGGAGTTTATAGTCTGGCTGGTGACACAAAACAGACAACACTGCTGTGAAGTGTACTCTGCGATGGTGTGGATGCTGCTGTCCCCAAAGCCTGCTGTGAAAGGCGTGGTCCCCAAGGTGGCACCCGTGGGAGGCTGGGGTTTCTGAGAGGTGGGGCCCGGTGGGTGGGAAGTCCTCCGCTCCCTGGGACTGTCCCCATGGAGGGGACTGCGGGGCCTGGCCCCTCCCCGTTCTGTCCCGCTTCCTGGCCACCAGGTGAGCAGCTGTCCTCTACCACGTGCTCTGGCCATGACGTGTGGCCTGGTCCCAGGTCCAAAGCCACGGGGCGGAGCCATGATGGACTGGAGCCTGGCAGCTGAGTCAAGGCAAACCTTTCCTCTCCCGAAGTTGATTACCTCCGGGGCTTTGTTACAGTGAGGGAGAGCTGACCATGAGGGCCTTGGGACTGGCAGGGTGACGGAGGTGGGGAAGGCCGGCTTCCTTTGCCAGGGTGGAGGAGGAGGTGGCAGTGAGCTGATGTTGGCTGCTGGAAGCCGGGCGCACACTGAAGGGCGAGAGTGGGCTGGATGGGGTGAGGTGGAGGCGAGGGTGCCAGACTCGGAGGTGGTGGCCCGGGCAGCCGGATGAGGGCATCATGTCCCAAAGTGAGAGATCGTCCAAGGCAGGCTCCGCGGCCCACATGCTCCTGGCGTGGAAGATGGTTTCAGGTGCAACACGGACGAGCACGTGGCATTGCACTGGGGCTGTGTTTTGTGTTGGGAAAAATACAGAAGTGTGCATGGAGGATGAATGACATTGTACACCATATAGGGAAAATTCATACAATGCCTCTAAATATTTCTGTCCTTCCCTCGGTATTTTCCCTGGCTGGCAGCATCTATGTCTTCTCTTTCTTGTTCCCTCTCTCCCTTTTGAAGAAGGAAGCAGCTTTAGTTTCCAGGGTGCAGACATCCTCTGTATCCATGGGGATGAGGTCAGGATCCCCAAAAGCCGTGGCTTTGCAAGTCACTGGATCACACACAGGTGTTTCATATCACCTAAGCACCCGCTCCCTTAGATCCCTTCCTCGTACTTCAAATCATCTCTAGGTTGCACAGACAATGGAAGTGTGGTACAGACAGCTGCTATTCTGTATTGTTTAAGGAATAAGGACAGGAATAGTCAGTACATGTTCAGTACAGATATTCTGTCACACCTGACTTAAGTGAGTCCTTCACAAGCAAACAGTCCACTCTCAGCAAACGACAGCCTCTTTCCCAGGAAACAAAAGACAATCTCTTCAGTGCTGAAAAGTCCAGTGACTGTCTACACACCTGCACTCAGCCCAGATTCCTTAGCCCTTCAATACCTACATAAGCCTGACTCCTTTCCCAGTCAGCACTAATCTCTCTCCTGGTGTTAGCCCATCCACTCATGGATGAAATCTCTCCCAGCTCACTGCTGCATCTCTCTCTCCCAATGTCAGCCCACCCACACATGGATGTGATAAACTCAGCTTTACCCAGGCAGCTGCTAGGATCTCCCTGATTGTAGTCCCTGTTCATTGGAATAAACTTTTCTTTTTTACAACAAAAAAGCCCATTAAATGAGTGGATTCATGTGTTGCCTCTATATAACATTATCTTCTCCAAATATTTTTGGTTTGTTATTGGTTGAATCAGTAGATGGGGAGGGCCATGCTATTTATTTCTTACTGTTATCCTCAATTTGGACATTAATGAAAATTTCTCCTTTATATAACATTCCTCTTTTAAGCAAACATATATACATTTAAGAAGTGGGTTGTTTATGGAGAAAACAGTACTCTATGTTCACTGGAACATAGAGTAGCTTTTCAAAAAGAAGTTCAAATAATTGGAGTTTAGGAAACAAAGACCTAAGAAGAGTAGTCTGATTTGGAAGTTTTAAATATGAGCTAATTAGCTTTCCTTTCTGTTCAAGGAATAACTTAGGGGAAAATCTGCCAAGTTCATCCTTAAGAACAACCAAAGCAGCAGCACTGTGTCCAGTTTCCCCACTTGCTTGAGTTTCCACGTGTAAGGAAGACATGGGGACTGCCGCTAGGCCAGCCTCCTCACGCTGGCGGTCTGGAAGACAAGACTAATGGTTTCATTTATTAACAGCTGACAGGACACCTTTAATTAAAACTCCCAAAGAAGGAAATCATAATTAACTAGGTGGAAATTATTGTTCATGAAATAAAGATGTCAAGATATAGAGGGAGGAGCTGAGACTCCCGAGTTCCCGGTTTCTAGAACGTGTGGGCTATGCTGTACAGCAGGAAGTGGTCACATGTCAGACTTTCTTGAGCTTGGAAGACAGATTACACCATTTTGGGGGGAGGCAGGATTATGTGTGTCTGCGTGGGAGGGTGGGCCAGATGGGGCAGTTTGGCGGCAGAAGACACTTGGAGCTCAGAGCCCTCACTCTTTCTGGTGTGCCGATGAAATCTGGCCAAAAGGAAGCCCTGAAGAGGGCTATCGGTGGTAGAGAAAAATGAGTACCATCATTCACTGAGCATCTGCTTTGCTCTGGCCAGCAACCATCTATTCATTAGCTCACACAATCCCTGCCAAGCCGGGGTAAGGAACTAACAGGACCTCTGTTGTATGAGGAAGAGGGACTCACCTGGGCCTAGGCAGCACAGCTAGGGTTCAGGGTCTGGTGCTCCTCTCAGGCCTCCCTCCTACCCACGGTGCTATGCCGACTTTTCAGGTAGGTCACTAAAGGGCAACCACAGGCCCCAGGTATGCAGAAGGTGGGGGGAGAGGAGGATGCTGTTGCTAGGCAGTCCATCTGGTTTCCCTAGGAGATAATTGAATCCTTGTGAGTAACACAGATGTATGTGTTTTAAATCACTGGTTTATTCCTGATCAGAGGCAGCTGCCTGGAATTCATCTGGCTGTTTAGAGACGAGGGGCCCTACAGTCTCCCAGAACCAGTCCCTTTTCACCCAGCAGTGGCTCCTCCTCTCTCTCCTGCTCTGTCCCAGGCCACACGCCTTGGACAGCTGTGTGATGAGGCTTCGGGTGGATAGTGGTGAGCTAGGTCATAGGTTCTTCTGCCAGGAACAGTTTTGAAAAACAAACCCACTCCTCCTGGTTCCTTCCATTATCACGTTACCTAAATCTCATTTTATGACTGCACTCCAAAACAAGTTTGAGTTCATACTCAAACGTAAGTGCACCTATGTGTAACTCTTAGGAGCCATGAGAGCTCTTGTGGAATCAGACAGATGGGTGTGTCATGTTTCTGAAACACTAGGAATCACGAGCATGTGCCAGTTCAGATGGAGTAGGGTCTCCCTACTTGGGCTCTGACATTCTGAGCCATGTAATTCTTCATTGTGAGGGATGCTCATGGGCAGTGTAGGACATTTAGCCACATCCGTGTCTGTACCTATTAGATGCTGACACTACCTCTCCCACACCCTAGCTGTGACAGTGCCATGTGTCCCCTGGAAGGCAAAGCCATCACATACGAAATGAAGTGTGCTGCATAACGCTGTTTCGGTCCATGATGGAGCACAGACAGGACAGATGCCACATCATAGTAGAGCTGACAGATCACAGCACAGCGCTGGTGGCCATGGTGCCCGTGTTGTGCACCCTTGTCTCTGTATGTCTCCTTGTAGTGTGATGGCCAGCCTGACTCCATTTTGTGTGGGGCTGGGTGATTCTGGTGGTTGCCTCCCTTTCCCCCCTTGAGAGTCCCGTTGGTTGATGACAGGCCACCACATCCTGATTGGTGGAGCAGTCGGGAGTTGTCTTTGTGACCTTGTGAGCAGAATACTCCTTACCTGTGTGATATTTTGCTCCAACTGAACTGTGTGAAACTTCCCCTGACCCCCACTAACTTAGCAGTTTTGCTTCTGTAAAACTGTGCTTGGGCTCTCCCTGCCCCCAGCCCTCCCCAACTAGAAGAGCCGCTTGAAACAAACCTGCAAGCTGCTTTTCAGCGTCGAGAGGTTTCAAGCGCTAGCTGCTCTCGACTGCCAGCAATAAAGAACTCTAATTTGGCTCAGAGTGTTGGTGATTCTCAAAATCTCTCAAGATTGAGTATAATGGTAGTTCATTTTGCAGGAACCACATTTTTATTTATTTCTCAATAATTGCAGAAATCCATCTCCCATTTGGTCCCATGGGTAGAATTTTAGACTTCAACAACTTCTGGGGATTCTTTTTCTAACTAGTATTGCTCTTATTTCTCCCAGCAACATTTTAAAGGCTCTAACTGCAATGTCTCGTCCAGCAGAGCCACCTCGAAGTCTTTCTTCTGTATTAAACCACAACAGCAATGTCAGCCATGCCAAGACCATGCAGCACAACCCGTGGTTCTCAAACCACAGTTTCACTCCAGCACTGGAGTCATCTGGAGGAGTGGCCATGACCAAGAGCTCAAGGATCAGGAAGAGGCTTGGGTTTGAGGACAGCTCCCCAGGCTGAGGCCAACTGACGTTCTCCGGTAGAGACAGAATGAGGGTTTCACTTTTCTAAACAGATACCTGGTATTAAGAACTCACAGACAAGCACAAATATCCCTATGTCATTTAAATCCTGCTGAACTCGACCTTGCCCATCGGAGGTGGGAGCCAAGGCTTGTGTGGGTGGCTAAGACTGGCTCTTTTCTCTGGAAAAACTAAAGACCCGAGAAGAAACCATGACACTGTGACACGGCAGGTGCACTGAAAAGCACGTTCCCGGGGTCTCGGACCAAAAGGAAGGAGCAACAGATCCTGCTTGGAAGAAGCCTTTCCAGGCAAAAGGCAACACTGGACCCACAGAGGCCAGGAGCTGACTGGGGCTGGAGGAGGAGTAGCCTGCAGTAGGGGTCACTGGGCAGATTGAAAAGAGTGGTTGACAGCGGCCGGGCCGGCTTAGGAAGGGTTTTTATTATACAAAGAGGTTTAAATTTTATTTTGAAAATTAAAGGAGACTCAACAGGAAGAAAACAAAGACCAACTAAAAAGTGGGCAAAATTGCTGAACACACACACTTCACAAGGAAAGCAGACAGACAAGTAAGCATAAGAAAATGTGCTGCATTGTCATTAAGGAATTGCAAATCAAAACAATGAGGCACTGCTATGCATCCATTAGAATGGCTAAAAACAAAGCAAACTCTGACAGTAGAAGCTGGGGGAGGACCGGGGTAACAGGAATTCTTATTCATCCATTGCTGGTGGGAATGCAAACAGGCATGGCCTCCTGGCAGTTTCTTAGGAAACTGAACAGTCCACCATATGTCCAAGCAATAGCACCACTACTGAGGTGAAGATGGGTCCAAATGACACGGACACAGGTTCACATAAACACCTGCACACACTGTGCTTAGCAGTTTTATTCATACTTGCCCCAAGCTGAATCCAACCAAGACAGCAGAGCCGCCTCACAGGGTGGCCTGAGCCATCAATAGATGAATTCAGTGACAAAAAGAAATGAGCTATGAAGCCACAAAAAAAGCATGGACTGAGCCAGGTGTGGTGCCAGGTGCTTATAGTACCAACTACTTGTGAGGCTGAGGCAGAAGGCTCACTTGAGCCCAGGAGTTTGAGGCCAGCCTAGGCCATGTAGTGAGACCTCATCTCAAAAATAACATAGCATAAAATAAAATGGCATGGATTGGCATCAAATACACAATGCTAGTGAAAAAGCTGGCCACGAAGTCAGAAAAAGCTTCACTCTATAATGGTTTCAATTATGTGACATTTTGGAGAAGGCAAAACCAAAGAGACATTAAAGAGACCCATGATTGCAGGAGGCAGGTGTGGTGGTGGAGGAGGTAGACGCACAGGGAAATTTTTTTAGGGTGGTGAAAATATCTTGTTTGATACTGTAATGGTGACTATAGGACATTAAACACTTGTCAGGACTCAGAGAACTTCAGAGCTCAGAGTACACATTGATGCATATAAATTTCAAAAAATCATTCAGGAGATTGAATAATCCAGGATGCAATGCAGAATGTAAGAAAAGAATCTAAATGTTTTGCAAATGTTTAAAAAAGCCTAAATGAAAGGAATGGGCAAAAGGGTGCTGGCCTGGGCAACTGCGGGAACAAATAGCTGTAAGACGAGAGGCAACCGGATCTGCAGGCAAACACTGTGCTCTGCTTGATAATGTTGTTTCCCACAGCGATACGGTTAAAAATTCTGAAGCCACTACACATGAACGCTGAAATTAAGCAATTAACTAAATGGCTGGAGCCTGGGTTCTCATAGCAGGATTGGGAGGGTAGAGATAAGCGAGGGAGGAGGCCATGATTATGTAACAAAGGACTGGTTTGTGACACTGGTGAGGTGGTTACTCACAGAAACAACATTCTATTACAGAAACAGGATCTATCCTTGCACTATCAGCTGAGAAGGTTTAGAAGCAAGGATTCCCCAGTGGCCCTGAGCACACCTAGCACCTGTCTTTGGAGCAGGAAATACACAAAATGGCCCCTGAGAATTGTGTAGTTTCAGAAAGAAAGAAAATAATAAAAATGGTACACAACAACAAGAGAAAAATTCTATAATGATGTCAAATGGATACAAGAACCAATGGGAAGATCTTTAAGTGGCCCAAACTGAAAAACAACAACAAAAATGAATTAGCATTGGGTAATAATACAAAATATAAAATGGAGGACTGGGGATTTAGCTCAGTGGTGCCACCACCTGCCTTGCAAGTGTAAGGTCCTGAGTTCGATCTCCGGTACCACACAAAAAAAGTTATCTTTAAGTTCATGTTGATATAGATATTGAAGACAGAATAGACAAATGTCCTGTGCAGAAGAAATGTGAACAATTTAGTAGCTACTCTACCTCTAAGAAGGTAGAGCTTAGCTCCTACTCTTCAAGTGTGGGCTGCACATAGTAACTTTCTTTCAAAGGCAAAGAAAATTGAAAAAGGGAATAAAAGATAACTCTGCCAAGGAGAAGCCAATGACCAGGGTTAACACCAAACCTCTGGAGTGTGCTAAGCCACAGTGGTAGCGGTGTCACGCTTTGATGTGCTAGCAATGGCCCCTGCCTCTGGTCTTCTTCCCTAAACATCAGGCAGACCCCAGCTGAGCGACATGTTACAAAATAGCTAACACTCCTCAAACAGTAGAGGTCCTAAAAACCAGCCAGCGAGTGTAAGAAAACGGTCACATCAAGAGGAGCCTGTGCAGACAGGATGACTAAACACAATGTGGGATCCTGGGACAGAAAATGTACATTAGCAAAAAAGCTGAGGAAATTTGAATAAAGAATCCACTGTAATTAAATGTATCAATATTGGTTTATTAATTGTGATACATACCATAATAATCTCTCAATAGGAAAAACTAGATGTGCTGTGGATGAGAACTTTTTGCATTAAATCTGTGAATGTGAAGTTGTTTCAAAATCGAAAGTTTATTTTAAGACACACCCAAGGGAAGCCAATGAGTGGATTCCCACGGGAAGGTATTCTAGTAATTTCTATGAGGTGGTCCATTTGTTTTTATAAAAAAAGAAATATATATCTGAAGTTGAAAGTTGCAGTGCTCAGTTAGGCCCTCCCATATTATACTGAGTAGGCTGAAGAGGGGCATAAACACCAAAACATAGCCAAACACCAGGACAGGTCACAGGGAGACAGGTTCTAACTTAATAGGTCTCCACAGTAGTGCCCCAGGGCTCCTATCCTGAATCATTTAACCTGAATCACAGAAAAACAGAAATACGAGGAAACAAGACCACAGGGTGCTGCCTCAAACACTTAACTCCTCCAAATCAGATTATACGCAAAGAATTCAAAACCAAAATGGTCAAACATTTGAAGAGCTCAAAGAAGAAACAAACAATAAACTGAGTTAAGACAATACTGCACCTCAAGGTCCTGGAAAGATAAGAACAATGCAAATCCAAAATTATTACAAGGAAGGAAGTTATAAAAATCAGAGTGGAAATTAATAAAATTGATACTGTAAGAACAATACAAAGAATTAGTGAATCGAAGAGCTAGTTCTTCAGAGGAATAAGCAAAGTAGACAACGTGTAGCCAAATTTACAACATCAACAAAAAAGTGGTCTCATCAATGCTCCACAGAGGACTACCCAATCAAAACATGGGGACCTGAAATGAATAGCGCTTCTTAGAAGAAGCACAAATGGCCAAAAATACAAGAAAAATGATCATTACTGGCCATCAGAGAGATCAAAATTAAAACTACACTCAGATATCATCTTACCCCAGAAAGAATGGCTATCATAAAACAATAACAAATGCTGGCGAGGATGTCGGGGGAAAAGGACTTCTACTGCATTGTTGGTGGGAACATAAACTAGTACAACCACTATGGAATCGGTATGGAGATTCCTCAAAACTAAAACTAGAATTCCCATTTGACCCAGTTGCTCCCCTGCTGGATGTTTTCTGAGAGTTAAAGATCACATCACTGTGATCCACGCACACCCAAGTTTAAAGCAGCAGGGCTCACAACAGCTAAATCTTGGAAACGGCCTGTATGTCCATCAAAAATGAGTAGACAAAGGAAATGTGGTAAATGTGCACAATGCAGTACGAGTCAGCCATAAAAGAGGACAAATTTGAGCCATTTGTAGGACAATGGATGCACCTTGAAACCATAAAGCTATGTGAAACCCAAAGTATGAAGTATTTAAAGAGTAAAATAATAGATGATAGGAACCAGCGAGGCTGACGCCGGCTGGGCATGGTGGTGCACGTCTGTTCCCAGTACTCTCGGAGGCTGAGGCAGGAGGGCCGCAAGTTCCAACCTGACCTGGGCAATCTAGAGATCTTGCGAGTCCGTTTCATAAATAAATAAATAAATAAGTTAATTAATTAAAAAAGGCTGGCGATGCAGCTCAGTGTGAACGCCTTGGGTTCAATCCCCAGTACCGCAAAACCAACCAGCCGAACATCAAACCTTCAAGCAGAAACACCGAGTCAGGCCATCGGCAAATCCCCAGCCTAGCGAACCTGCTTGTTGCGTTAAGCGGATAACCTTTGGGGTGACTGCTAAGCACCGCTTTCCGACACAGAACCGAGACCGACCACACGCGGCATTACATCTGCTGCAGTAGCATTAACATTCTGGAGCCGGGCTCAACCTCAGGCGTCTCTAAACGACGCCCGGAAGACGCCCACACGTCGAGAACAGCTGGGTCCAACCACACTTCCAAAGTCACCCGGCGGAAGGTGCCTGCGCACTGTAGCGGAAGTGTGGAGTACGTCCTTCCGGGTGCGTGACCAGCACTTCCGGGTGCGTGACCAGCACCTCCACAGTGTGCCCCGCGCGCCAGGCGGCACATCCGCGTGCCGAGCCATCGATCGGAAGTGCGCGGCCTCCTGCTTGCTGGCCGAGTCAGCTCCAGTGGCGCCTGAGGAGCGCGGCGCAGCAGCCCCTCCAAGCCGTGGCCCGTGCCCGGGGTCCCGCAGCGGGCCTCCGCCGCCGCCATGAGGCTGCGGGTGCGGCTTCAGAAGCTGACCCGGCGGCTGGAGACGTACGCGGCGGAGCCGACGCTGGGGCAGCTGCGCGCGCAGCTGAGCGAGGCGCTGCCGGGCTGGGGCTTCAGGTGGGCGTTGTCGCGGGGCGGTCGGGTGTCGGGCAGCGGAGACCATGGCGGGGCCGCCCGGGGCAGCCGCGGGGCTCGGGGGTGAGTAGCGGGCCGGGGCCTCGCAGAGTGCCGCGCCGAAGGTCAGCGCTGTCCGCTCCCCGCAGGGCGCGGGGACCGCGGGCTCCAGTCGCCGACGTGGCAGCGGCGAGGGTGGGCGCAGATGTGGTTCAGGTCTCGGGGTTTACTGAGCGGGCCCCAGTGGAAGTGGGGGGCACTTAGGGTGTCCCTGGAGAGTTGGAGTTTGGGGCAGCCAAGCTGAGGAAGGACCCGATCCTGTTATTCATGTATGGGGCCGAAGATGCCTGGCCTGTTTCTCCAGAAGGTATTTCTGGGGACAGTGACACAGGACTGGAGGGACAGGGCAAGGGCGGCCCCTCGTCGAATACTGCTCTGTGCATTCAAGATGTGAGCGTGCTAAGAAGAAAATAGAAAAGATATTCCTGGGGGCTTTGAGGGCGAGTCTCAAAAAAAAAAAAACTACTGTGCGTGCATGACTTTTATAAAATTTATATACTTTACTTTATTTTTAGAGAATTGAGTAAAATAAGGCCATCTTGCGGACCTCATTTCATTTTCCAGGTTAAGGCATTGCTAGATCAAAAGCGAGCCTGTTTTCCTCCAGATTAAAAAATAAAACTAAAGACGAGGAATTGTCATAACTCTTTAAACAGTATAGAAAGTGACATATTTATTATTTCTTGGCATGAAACCTCAGTGTTTTACATGCTGGCATCATCACTCTACCATCCATTCTCAAAATTTGCTTTCTAGGGTGTTCCCATAGAGATGTGTATGTATACTTTATTATTTTTTAATTAGGATAGTCTTAAGGCAGCGAAACCCAGTATGACTGCAAGAGTCCCGCTTAGTTTCTCTTTCAGGTTTGCTTTTACAGTTGAGCCTGGTTAACTGGAAGGAATTTAAACCTCTGCTTGCGAAAGTAAATAGATTCTCTTTAAAGTGTGTTCATTTGGTCACAAGGGGGCAGTTTAAAAATGTGTCCATATGACACTGTCAGTTATTGATAGAAGATATTTCTTAAAAGCCTGGAGTTTCTAAAATTTAATTTTCTGGTGAAGTTAACGCCCGCTGTCCTATTTCAGAAAGTAAAGCCTTGGAAAACTATGTATTACTTTAGAAATAGCTCTCCCCTGTTTTGAAAGTGGGAGGGAAAGTGCAGTTTTGCCTTTTCTACAAGTAGATATTTGAATGTACATTGTTGTACTAGATTCTGTTTTAAACAGAAACCAGTGATCCAAAAAGACTTTGTTTGTTGGAGGTGTCTTCCCTTTTTCTGCTGACGTTGGTATGTTTTTTGAGGGCAGCTGGCCGATTTTCAGTTTTTGTTCATCAAAACATTTTGAAAACCGAGGGAGAGCCACTTGTTTTCTAATCAGCAGAAATAATTTTAGTAATTTCTCTACCAAAGATGCTTTAATTTGTAAGAAAAAATATACTTATGTGTGAAAGAAAAATTAACTACTTGGAGTACTTTCAGCATGTAGCATCAAAAGAAAAGTACACAGAATATGGCTTTTCAGAGGAATTACTCTTTTGTTAACCTCTCAGCATTGTGAGTGTAAATGTCTTATAAAATGTTTACGAGGAAGTAATTGTTCCTCACCTCACCACTCCGCTGTGGGAAACATAGTATTCCTCGCAGACAGTCTGCCAGGCAGTTCATTGCTTCCACCTTACAGCTCTTGGTGTGTTTAGCGGTGGGCTTTGGGTTTGTGCTGTCTTCTGTGTAGAAGGCTTCGTATAGACTGATCAGTCGGAGGGGTGAACTTGTGCTTGTCCTCATCAGTAGGAGGGATGAATTTGCACTCGGTCATCTGCACATCCCTATGAATGTCATTTACAAGATAGATCTGCTGTTTTGGAAGCAGTGTGAGCAAATTATCCTGTGAGGACATTGGCTAGGCAGCCCTCATTTCACTCCCATCTGAATCTTCCAAGTAATGTGCAGTGGTTGCATTTGTTCACATGCTCTTCAGCCATATAGCAGAGATACAGTTTCAAAGAGGAAACATAAAACCCCTGGTCTTTTGAAACCTAAGTTTTAGTAGTAGGCATGGGGAAGACAGAAAATGAACAAGTAAACACAGTGCTTTCAAACAGTGGTGTCATGATAAAAATGAAATGAGAGTGAGTGGGTTTGAGTGTGCAGGTGGGCGGAAGGCTTTTCCTGACTGGTGCATTGAAGTGAGGCCTGGGTGGAGAGCAGGGCTGTCATTTGGAGACCTGGCTGAGTGACAGAGAAGCCACAGGCTGCAGGGAGGTTGTTCTTCTGTCAGGACAGCTTGCAGAAAGAGGGCTTGGCGAGTGAGAGAGGACAGAGGCCTCAGGCACCCTGGGGGACGAGGGAAGGGGTCAAGTGCTGGCCTTTGGGCCATCTGAAGGGTTCTGTTCAAAATAGGAGCCAAAGGAGGGTTTTAAGCAGAGGTATGATGTCATCTCATATTTTAGAAAGTATTTCATTGAACTCAGTGACAATTGTGAGACACACAGTTTTATGTAACACTAAGGGGAAATGCTGTTGAATGAAACTGTTGTGTCATGGAGTCTCAGAAGCATTCCAATTTCAAAGATGCCAAACTATGAAAAAGTATACATGGCTTGCTAGTAGAGAAGTGCTTGATACCCCAGGTTAGAGTTTTCACCGTGAGAAGTCTCTAACTGCAGCATTTTATGATCAGAATAAGCAACTTAGTGTCTCATTCCCTTTTTCTAGAGTCACGCCATGTTCCTTTTCTGTGCTCTAGACATGTTGTTGAGGGTGGTGCCGAGAGGTAGCTCTTACTGTCCTTATCCGTCTCTCTTGGCAGTTCTGATATCCGCTATGCAATTACCCTGAACAACAAGGATGCCCTCACTGGAGACGAAGAGACTTTGGCGTCATATGGGATTGTTTCTGGGGACTTGATATGTTTGGTTCTTGAAGATGCCATGCCAGCACCTAACTTGCCTCCATCCACAGATTCAGAGCATTTCTCCGTCCCGAATAATGACCAACCCTCTCTGGCTGCCACCTCCAGCCAGGCCAGCATCCCAGATGAACGACAGAGTGATTCATTCCAAGGACAGGCAGCCCAGTCTGGTGTTGGGCATGATGACAGCATGGTGGGTACCAAAAATGACAGACAAGGATGTGGCCGTTCTGAGATGCTAATGTATCTCCTGACTGAAGTCACAGTTAAATAACTTCATTGAGTGTTGATTCATTGGGTCTACTTTCACATTTTGGATGCTATTCTTTATGGATGTTATATTTCAGTTTTTAAGACTTAAGAGACTTTACACATGGATGTTACGTGAATTCCTTGATTTAGTCTTGATTTGGAAATCGAGCTGCAGAAGCATTTTTATTACTGTTGGAAGTATGTAAATATGAATGTTTGCGTTCAGTAATATCAAGGGAATACTGCTGATTGTGTTCTGTGTGGCGATGTTGTTACGATTGGATTGAAAGTGCTTTCATTTTTTACAGCAAAATACATGAAAAATGGGACTAGAGCTGTATATTGTCTATAATTTCCTTTACAGTGTTTCTGCAAAATAATTTTTGACATAGAAAATTTGGTAAAATATTAACTGCTATTGAAATTTATTTACTTTTAAAATATAATATTCATTATCCTTTCTGGAACATATGAAAACTTACCATAGTAATAAAAATTAAGGTTGGGGTTAAATGGTTAAAAAAACAAAGATATAACTAGAGTCGTCGCCAAGTCACACGCTCACCTTAGTTGAGTCCCGTCAAGTCGGTCATTCTTGGGCTGCAGAGGCTGCTTTAGAGAGCGTTTTCCTGGTCACTGCTGGATGCCTGCACTGGTGAGGCCGGGCTTCTGGGGACCCAGTGCCTGCCGATGTCTTTTGTTCAGGTAACTGTTCCTCCAGGTCCGCTCTCGCTTGGTTTCTGTTTTGCCTCTACCTCTAGGAGTCCCAGCTTTCTGCTTTGGTCTGCACCAGTCATCAAGGCCACGTGCATAGTCCAGAGATGTGCTGGGCACTTACCTGGAACTGCCACGTGTCAGCACATACTGCGGTGTGCAGCGTAAAACTGGAGATAGTGTGTGCTCGTGTTCTCTGTCCCCAGCTGGCTCCCTTCTGACCTTCAGTGTCGCTGCTATTTCTGTGCTGTTGACTCCCCATCTCCACCCTCGGTCAAGGTTCCTTTTCCATTCAGGTTGTTCGTGTCCGTTTTTCAGTCTGCCTTCTAGGTTCGTCTTCTGCCTGTGTGTTTCTTTATGTCGTTCCTTGCTCTTTAGTGATTGATTCCATGTCACAGATACCGCTCATAATTTTGGAGCTGAAAAGACTTTGGTCTTCTTCTATCCAGTCCACCCCTGCCATTTCACAAAGGGCAGTGTCGTGTGTGGTCCCCTACCTGGTTCTGGTTTTCAGGGTTTTCTCTTTCTGAGAGTCGCCTCGCGCAGCCTTTGCTGGCCCGGTTTGTTTTTCCTCCTGTAAGCTCATGTGTGCCGATGCTCAGCTTGGTACCACTGGGCCTTTGCTCTTGCTCTTCCTCCATACCCGACCCGCTTCTCCCTCTCGTGTCTGTATTTTTGTCTGTGCTCTGAGGCCCTTGCCAACTGTAGCCTGGTAGTGTTCCTTTTGTTCCAGTGTTCTCCTTTCTGTGTGGCCTGGTGCATGCCAGGTGAGTGCCCTCCTACTGAGCCCAGCCTCAGCCCCTGCACTGATGCTGTCTGCCCTGGAGATGCCTTATTATTTATATCCTGCCTTTCAGGTTCCTGTGTGAGGGGAACAATTTTTTAATAATACAGACATTATTCTTATTCATGTTTTTTGGGTGCGTGTATACTTATCACCTCAAATTCTTTTGTGGGCCTTGAATATTAAAGCTACCTACTAAGGCATTAAATGTAGACAGATAACAGGTTGTTAAGTTGTCAAAATCATTTGTGTCCAGATAAATGGATTTTTATTTCTTTTAGACATTACTGCCTCTTGTGTGTTTCTGCTTTATAGAAGCAGTCTGGGGAAGGAATAAGGATATTTGCCTACATATTTAAATTTCCAAGTTTTTTGCTTATAGACTCATTCAGAGATAATATTAGCAGAAGGGCCTACTCCCTTTACTTCTCTGTACTTTTAAAATTGTCCAATAAGGTGGAACTTCTCATAGTTTATATGAGCTACTCTCCTGGCTTTTCCTTTGGAAAATTTTGGGAAATTAGTGTTGGTCCCAGATAGTAATTTCAATTCTAAAAACGTATTTTGTATTCTAAGGTTTGTATAGGGTGACTATAACATCTTAGTGTGGAACCTGAGCTTGAACTCTTGGTAAATAGAGCTTTGAGTCCTTGAAGTGGAATGACCTGTTAATTAAACCCAGAAGGGAGCGTTATGAAAGGAAGATAAAATGGGTGGGTAAATATTACTCTTGTAATTAAACATGAATTAGTTTCCTTACTTCCCTCCACTGGGAGTTCACTAGTGGCGACCTGGGCCAGGTCCAAATGGGCGTGCTGTGCGCACTGGCTGCGGTGAGTGACCTGTGGCAGGGGTGGGGCTTGGCCTCGCTTCTCTCCAGCCTGGGGAGAAAGTGATAGGTCCTCTATCGGACGGGCTCAGAGGGTGCTGGTGGCTGGCGCGGTGTTGGGAGTCCGGCCTGATAAGGCAGAAGGGGATTCCGATAGCGCTCTCGGCAGGTTGCCAGCTTAGGTGACCCCTGTGTGCTTTTCCCCTTGCGTTCTGCCCCACACTCCTGGCAGCAAGTGGTAAGTGACTCGACCTTAGGCATAACAGTAAGGAGGCAGGGCTGTCTCACGATTTAGCTTGGTGTTAAGTCATTTTTAATATTGCAGTTTATTTGCCAAAAAATAAAGCCAAGCAGACCTAGAGAGGGTTTCCACTGCACACCTTTTCAGGCGGCGTGAATCACCACAGGCCTGTAGGTTTTGCTGAGTGTGTCTGGACTGCCCCATAGCCGTCAGGGCTTCAGGCCTCACCCTCAGGAGAGCAGCAGTCCTTCTGGGTCCTTGCCTTCCTCCAGGCTGTCACTCAGTACTTTAATTCCCTCTGCTCCCTCCTCAGTAGCAGTTCAGGCTTTAGCAGAAGAAACCTGCTTTGCTTCAGGAGTTGAGCACAAGCCTAGGAGACAAGCTTTCTGAACGAAATTGAGAAGTAGTACAGTAACTGAGTCTTTCTGAGGCGCGTAGCATGTGTAAAAGCCCTGGGCTGCATGTGTCTGGGACACGGGTCGCTTTCAAGTGTGTATTGGCTGGCTGCCTTGATTGTGTTACGTAACCTTTCTGAGTTAGTTATGGCATCTGTACAAAGGCGATATTACCTGCCTTGTGCAATTTGTAGGGTCACCACTGAGAGCACAAAAACATTGTGAAAGTGTAATCTATTCGACAGGCATTTTTGTGCTATGTGCCAGGTCCTCTGTTGGGTGGCTGAGTGGATGATGTGTAGTCTGGTCCCATGTGGCCTTCCAGCCTTGGGTTGGGGTGTGAGAGGTGCAGGGTGCTGTGGGCTCACTCATTTACCAGGGCTCCTTTGAGGCCTTCTGACCTGAACCCACTGGTGTGCCATGGCTCTGAGTGTGAATCTCAGTTCACTTTAGGATATGAAAGGTGCTGTGTATGTTATGGCGCTCTCTCGATGTCCCCCAGAGCCCCATGCGATCGCAGGTGGGGCTTTGCAGAGGTGGCTGGATCCAGAGTGTGTGATGCTGGGCTTGATTCATGGTGCAGTGCTAGGCTCACAGGCCCTAAGGTTAAAGGTGTGAGTGCTGCCCATCCTGAGTCACCTGGATAAGGGAAAGGGCAGGAAGGCTCTCACGGCCCTTGTTGCTTTGCTGCCTTCTGTCCACCGTGGACTCATGTGGGACTCGACTGCCTTGGAGCCCGCCAGCTATAGACTGAAACCTCTGTGAACTGTAAGGCAAACAAACCTTTCCTCCCTCAACTTGTGGGCGCCAGACATTTTGTCTCAGCAGTGAGAGAAAAGTAACTAAGACAGTATATAAATATTTTCAATAGAGTCTCTTTCTTCTTTGTTACTCCGTTCAGTCAGGGCCGAGTCAGAGCGTCTCACCCAAGGCAGAGGAAGACGCCATGGATATGGAGGAGGGCCCCGGTGTCTGTCCCTCAGAACCAATGCTGTGCAGCGAGGCGGCAGAAGGGCAGGTGCCGCACTCGCTGGAGACCCTGTATCAGTCAGCCAGCTGCTCGAGTGCCAGCGATGCCCTGACAGTGCTGATCCACCTCCTGATGGTGGAGTCGGGTTATCTCCCTCAGGTAAGGCCACAAGGGCAGCCACACGCCCCGGGCCCAGCATTTCCCGAGAGCAAGGGCACATCGTGCTCGAATCCCGGGTTAGGTACTGAATGGCGGTGCCGGGCCCCGCGGGGCTGTCGTAGGACTCAGTGAGTGTGCCCTTCCCCCTTCCTTCCCCCCTTCATTTCCTTTGTCAGTGTTGAGTGGTACAGAGCGGATGGAGACAGGCGTTCAGAGAAGGGGCTAGGCGGGTCAGGGGAGGTCAGTGGGCGGGCCTTGAGGGCGGCTCCCGCGCAGCTCTCCGGGTGACTGTGTATGGCCCGGGCTCGGGAACGCAGGAGCTGGGGCTGGTGGGCTGGGGAGGAGGACGCTGCTGTCCTCCTTCACCCCTCTAGTCCGCATCCGCCAACAAGCACCCCTGGGGTCGGGCAGTGCTTTGTGCCTGGACCAGACTGCCCACCTGTCAGAGTGCAGGGCACAGGCGGCATTACACGGCTCTTGTGTGGGGGTGCAGTTCTAGGAGCGGCATCTGCATGGGCAGGGTGCCCCGCTTCACGGGGAGGGTGTGTGGGGTGGAGCCTCTCAGACCTGACCTGGGCCCCTGCGAGTGCAGGCTGTGACCCCAGCTTCTTCCGGCTGTGCCCGTGTGGCTGGCAGGGAGGGGCCACCAAGCACAGAGCATCCAGGGTCCTGTGAGCCCAAGGGCTGCCCTGCACCGAGCCACCGATTAGGAGCAAAGCCGTCCTCAGGGAGTTCGTAAGTGGGTGAGCGACAAATAGAAATACAGTATGTAGACGGCAGACAGGGCGACACAGTGTCATGGACACACGTACCAGAAATAGGAGCAGGAAGTGGTTTGAGCTGTGCTTTTGAATCATGCGAACAGCTCTGTGAGGTGGAGGAGCGCGTGTGAGGAGAGGAATGAAGCCTGATCTGTGATGTTATTCTGCCTCGTCTGCCAGAAAGTGTGATGTGAAAATCGGCGATACAGTCACTTGCTATTCACAGCAGTCCTAATGGTGTGACCCGTTTTCATTAAGGAAATGCTTCTTTCTGAACAAGTCAGGTGTCTTTGGATTTTAAATTTTTTGAGATCACCATCTCCCTTGTGTCTTCCCTTTCATTTCCCTCTGCAGGGGACTGAAGCCAAAGCAGTGTCCATGCCGGAGAAGTGGAAGGCGAGTGGGGTGTACAGGCTGCAGTACACACACCCGCTGTGTGAGGGCAGCTCCGCCGCGCTCGCCTGCGTGCCTCTGGGGAGCCTGCTCATCGTCAATGGTAATGGGCTGCACCAAGGCGCTGCTGGTTCAGAGTTAAGCACAATTAGGAGCTCAGGCGTCTCGTTCCCAGTATCTCGTGGCCACTTCAGTGATTGGGTGTCATGGCCCAGCGGTGACTCTCTGCACTTTATCTCATTCCCAGACCACTGCTGTGTGTGTGTGCGAGAGGTTATGGAGTACGAGGCTGGTCCTCAGCCCCGAGGCCTTCACTCTCGCGGGCTGTAGACGCCTCATCTCTTGTTCTGGGGGAGTTAGCTGATCAGTGAAGTGAGTTTATTACATCGGAGCTCTGTGAAGACTGTTCCTTTTTATGGCTGTCTGTAGATGGCTTTCTGTTTTTATTTTTCCAACAGAAGACTTGAACAGAGATTGTGAGATGGAGCTGTGGTCCCCGTTCGTCTAGCTTGGCACCTCTGACCAGCATGTGCAGCAGCACTGTCTGCTTCTGAGCTCAGTGTATGGCTCTGCCTGCCCTCCTGAAGTTGCGCTGAGCAAAGAGTCGCATGCTCTTGCTGCACTCTCGTGTGACGAGCCCTTCCTGGCACAGCAGTGTGTCCCACCGTGTCTCTCACTGCAGCCCAGGCGCCACTCAGGTCTTGGGGACCCCGGTGGTTGCTGGAGTGGTCTCAGCCTCACACGCTGGCCATGCACTTGGGGACCAGGTCTCTCCTTGTTTCTAGGTTTCATTTGTTTTTGGTGTTTACCCTTTGGCTAGTTAAAATAGTGTGGTAAGATTGAATAACTGCATGTTTGTTGTTTTTTGTGTTTCCAAAAAATGCTTTTTTCCGCTAAGACTTATTTTGAGAGCTGCTGAAATGGAGGGTAGCTCTAGGTCCTGTTTTATATAATTTTTGCTCTCTCCTTTTAATCCCCAGATTCTTTGAAATGTCACGTAAATGTCCCAGACTTTCAGCTTTAGCAGTTCCTTTGTTAATTCCAATTTGTGAGATGTGACTGTCTGATGGCCTGATACATAGCAGCAGCAGCTCGTCAGTATCTCCACAGTCAGCGTTGCAGTGTTCAGTTTCGATTCCTGCTCAGAGAGAGCTGCAGTTGCTGCCCTCATCCAATCACTGTGTGCGTCACAACCCGACTTGCTGGTGCTGTGTGGCTCAGTTTCTCGCAGGAGCCCTTCAGGACATGCACATCATAACCTGCTTACTCAGTATCCCATGGTCTCCTGGGATTCCTGCTTTGTCGCTTCCCTGTTCCTGGCACGTCAGTGGATTGCAGGCCTGCACACACGGCCTGCTGGCCCTGCCCTGCTGGCTTCTGTGGGAGGGATGGCATGTCCCTGTCTCTCCCGGGCTCCCTGGGTGGCGCACAGGTTCAGCAGGGCCTCACTGCCTCTTCCACAGAGCCCATGAAGTGTGCCTTTGTGCAGGGCCCCTGCTGGGCGTGCCTCTTTGGGTCCAGAGAGCAATGCCGCCGTGCAGACTGGCAGGACCCCCTTGGTGAACAGGGAGAGCCCCACTGCCAGGCACGGGAGGCCTGAATGGTGTTGCTCCTGACTGCAGTGAAACAAGGGTGCCGTTGTGGTTGGTGCCTCCTGTTAACCTTGCTGCGTAGCTCTCAGTAGCTAGTAATCTGCCTCGGGTGGTACCTAGAGGGGTGCACGTAAGATGCTCACTGTAGTTGGTAAGCGTGTGTGGAGGGTGATTTGCCTTCACGGCAGGTTTACACTTTTGACCTTCCTGCGAGGGAAGGAAGGAGTCAGGGAGCAGTTTGTTTCTCATGGTGTGTTCTCAGGATACTGTGGGAAGGGCGTCAGCCCACAGCTGGAAAAGGAAGGCACTGATGGGGTGGACATGGCTTTTAAGTCATCTTTCTTCTTATTTACAGCTACCCTAAAAATCAGCAGTGCGATTAAAAGTGTGAAAAGACTACAGCTGCTGCCGTCATCCTTTATTTGCACAGAGGAACCAGGTGACGTAATCGTGATGTAACTTGGGGTGGAGCTTTGAGAGGCTCGGGAGCAGAGCCCCACCCCGAGTGTGATTCAGGCGAATTCAAGGTAGTGTTGTCTCTTTAAGAACTTGGAGGTTTGGGCTATCGTTTGCTGAGTTTGTTCCCTGGACTTTTAGGGTGTTAGAGTGCTGGATTCTGTTCGTACCTCTGCTGTGAACTAATACCTGTGTAACTTGCCCCATTCTCGTGCTGCCTCATGGCTTCTGGGTTAATTTTGCAGATCTTTCTAGCATTGTACCTAACCAGTGTAGAGAGAGTCTGAGCTTCACGGAAGCGCTTCTGTGCAACTTCCCTCCTGAGTAGTATTGGGGAGAAACCGCATTCCTACTGTGTGTTGGTTAAAAATTTGATTCTTTGGTGCAGATTAGAACTTCACCAAAGTTTGCATTCTAAGCATGGTTTTACTTATATTATAAACATTTCTTAGTTGATGTAAAAGAGACAGATTTTCCTCTTCATTGGTTTTCAGTTAAACCTAAGTCATGAGAGGCAGACAAGCGGTTGAAGGAGAAGAGATGGGGTGGAGAGGAGAATCCCCACCCTCTGTTGTGGAGCACATGTGCCTGCGCCTGTGTCACTCTGTTTACCGTCATCGTGGGCCAAGGAGTCGGGCCAGGGGAGGGTGCTGTGTCGGTGTCTCCTGGGGAGGCCTGGCCAGACCATGGGCATTGCTTTGAAGCCCTGGAGACGTACTGTCAGTAGTTTCCAGGGGAGATGAGGCCTGAGGGACTGAGTTACACTAAAACTGATGGGAAAAGGAGGCAGACGGGTGTTTATAGTGGTGGATCCAGAGTTTGGACGCTAACTGAATGGGACACTGAATATCAGACTAGAGCAGTATTCACTAACTTTTACACTGTCGCCCTCCTGAGAAGTGATGGTAAATTCATAGATTTCTGTAGATGTTTCCCAGTCAGTCTCCTTCATGACATTTTAATACTGTGTGGATACGGTGTCGTTCCTAGTATAGCAGCTGGGCTGCATTTGCTATCCAGGACCCGGTTTCTGAGCCCTTGGGGGCTCTTCCTTGACCCTGCTGAAATGGCTGGCTCTGTAAGTCCGGTTTTTCCATCAAGGACAGAACAACTTGGAATTTCTTGGCAGGAGGGAGCTCTTTCTGTTCATCTCCGTCGGAGAAGGCCTTGCAGTAGGTGAAATGCTTCAGTCTTTTGCAGTTTTTTATGCCTATTTTATAGATCATGAAACAGGTCCAGAGAAAGGTAAATTACTTCAGGGTCACAGACCTAATACATGGAGGAATTTAGGGTTGAAATAGATATTTCTGATCCCCAGCCTTTTGAAAACAACTTTTTCCCTTGAAAACAATTGTTCTTTTTCTTGTTTCTTTTAAATAGGGAAAAGGAAATGAAAGGGGAGGCAGAAAGTTAATATCTTTGTGTAAATTTATGGATTATTTATTTTTTATGAAGTACTTTTATGTTGAACAGGAATATGCTGTTCATTTGGCAAGGCATTTTAATAAATTTTATTGTGGCTTATAGTTTAGAAACGATTCCTAAGTACTGTTATTTAGGCTTCTAAGATGCTAATTAAATATTTATATGATAGATCGCTAAAAGAAATGATTTAAAGAAAGTCAGTTTTTACACTTGACAAAGGACTTGAGCCAAATTGATTTTTAAAATGTCTTGGCATCAAAGCGCAAGGTCCTGAGTTTGATCCCCAGTACTAAAAAAAATGTCAGGACATCAGATTTCAAACTCAGGATTGTAGGTTCACACAACCAAGGTCAGAGTTCAGCTGCATATCTCTTTCCTTGTTCTTACCAATCACGTTGTAGTTAGCGTGTATATGGATAGCGAAATACATCCCTGCGGAGAGGGCAGGGAGCAGGCACACACTGTGGGGACCCTGGGCGCTCTGCATGGAGGCTCACACTGCAGAGCTCTTCTTTGGGGCAGTGGGGTGTCCCCTGTAAACAAGTGAGCAGACAGTTGAGGGTGAGTGGGGCAGGTCTTTGTCCAAGGTTAGGTGTTCGGTGACCATGGTGGTCAAGCCTCGGTACAGTGGCGGAGCCCCTGCAGCTTTGTGGAGAGCCCGTCAATGCGCAGTTCTGACTGAGCAGGGCTGTGATGGAGCTGGAGTCAGTAGGTACAGACTGTACACAGGTGGTGCAGTGCTGGTGACCTGTGGCCCACGCTGAGTAACAGCAGTGTGGCTAGAAATGAGTGCTTTGCAGCAGAGGCACCAGGTTTGTACCTTGCGCTCTCCCTTGCTTTGGGGCTGGGGACGGGCTCTCTGTACTTGTCCTGTTTCAGATGGGACAGTAGTGCCTGTCCCTTAGGAGTGATTGTGTGAAGAGCACCAGGCTTGGGAAGGACGCTGCTCCAGGAGAGCCGTCGCCGCTGTGCAGGGCCCCCAGGGGTGTGTGCGTGGTCGGCCGGCTCCGTGAGCGGGTCGCACACAGCAGGTGTTCTGCACACGTAGCTCTTGAGCTTTGGGTTGGGAGCAGCCAGTTAATTTGGAATCCGGGTCTAGAGCTTCCTGTCCAGGACTCGTTCTGCCCATCGGGCACCATCCCGCCCCTCCACTCGGGTACTGTGTGTTGTGGTGGGGATTGCTTGGCATCTGTGTTCACCACTTTGGTTTAGAAGACAGCTTTTCTTCTTGGTTTTGTGTTTCGATTTTTAACTTTTAAAAAATAATCTAGGGGAAAATGCAGCCGAGGTATACAAAGGTCTTCAGAAGCTCTCCCGGCTCTTCAAGGATCAGCTGGTGTACCCGCTCCTGGCTTCCACTCGGCAAGGTGAGTAAGGATGATTGCCACACATCGAACATCTGGAACCAGGAGTTGGCGCCCGGATGTGCGGTGACTCTGACCCTGAGCTCTCTCCTGGCCCTACTCTGCTCTTTGAAGGCGAAGCTTCAGTGTGACTTCCTTAAATGTTACCCACTTCCTCTCCTCTCTGAGTGTAATTTCCATAGCATTTTGTGTGTATCTTTATTGTAGTGCTTTTGCAGTGTATGACTGTTGTGTGATTTATTTCCACGAAAGGTTGTAGATTGAAGGTAGGGAACATGTCCTACTCACTTTTATCCTCATGGTCTTGCACAGATCCAGCCCATAGTAGATGTGTGGTAAACACACAAGCAGTTTACATATTTTATAGCCTATAAATTGGGTTTACGTATTTTTTTTTTTTTTTTGGTACTGGGGATCGAACTCAGGACCTTGCGCTTGTGAGGCAGGCGGTGGAACTACTGAGCTAAATCCCTGGCCCCTGGTTTATGTATTTTTAAACCTACAGTTATCGGGGCTTCTGTGTCAGACATTTTATTGGATGTTTCACATACTAACAGATTTTTAATGCCAATTACTTTGAAGTAGATTTCTATTGTATTCATTTTGTAGATGAAACTAATTCAGAGAGGATTATGATTCACTCAGGATGCTCATAGTATTCAGCTTTCTCTGATTTGTGTTTCAGTAAAAATCTCTTAAAACCTTAGTGATTTAGTGCTGGCATGTATCCCTCACCCCTGTGCACATGGCATGTGGCTCACTTTGCCTTACGAGTGCTCTCTGTCTGGCATGTACTCTTCCTGTGGCAGAAAAGAGGCCCAGCAGTCCAGCCACTTGTTGGTTCTCAGAGGTTTGGCTCCAAAGTGGAATGTCACTTCCACTCCCATCCTGCTGGACAGGAGGGCTGCAGTGGCCCAGCCGGATGGCAGGGGACAAGGAAGTGTAGTTACCAGGGAGGAAGGCAGGGGACCCTAACGTGACGCGGTCTGCTGCAGCCCTCTAGGTGTGGTTTCCGAGCCCCACAGCCAGATGCACGTGACCTTCGTCGCCAAGTCACCTGGTGCCGTGGCTGTTATTGCCCTGGTTTTCCTCTTAGTGAGTGATGAGGGTCAGAATAATGTGAATTTAAAACCCTTGCACATGATTTGGTTATCTTCACTAGTGAGGAACAGTGTCACATGTATTTCCAAGCGGCCAGTACAGGTTGAGCATCCTGATCAGAAAATCTGAAATCCAAAATGCTCCAGAATTGGATACTTTTTGTTGTTCATTTGTTTGGTTTTGGTACCTGGAATCGAACTCTGGACCTTGTGCTTGTGAGGCAGGCGGTGGAACCACTAAGCTAAATTCCCGGCCTCAGAATTGGATACCTTTTAATCTCCAACAAGACATTTAAAAAGTTTCAGATTTGGGATTTTTGGATTAGGAATGTTCAGCCAGTAAAATCTATGGAAATATTCCAAAATTGAGAAAACTAAAGTCTGAGAAATACCCTGGTCCCAAGCACTTTGGATAAGGGATACTGTTACGGCCATGTCTCGATGTCCCTCCAAAGCCTTGTGCGTCATAGGTGGGGCTTTTTCTGAGATAGCCGGATCTGGAGTGTGTGATGCTAGATTTGATTCATGGTGCAGTGCTAGGCTCAAGGGCACTAGGATTAAGCGGATGAATGCTACCTGTCCTAAGTAGCCCCGATAAGATAAAAGGGGCAGAGAGACGCTGTTAAGGCCCCTTGTCGCTTTTGCTGTCTTTGCCTGCATTGAACTGTTTCTCCTCTGCCCTGGAGCCAGCCCGCTATGGACTGAAACCTCTACAAACTATAAGCCAAATAAACCTTTCCTCCTTTAACTTGTAGGTGTTGGGTATTTTGTCTCAGAAACGAGAAAAGTAACTAAGACAGATACTCAGTCTGTAATCACAAACTAATTTTCATTTGACATCGCGGTGTGTTCTTTTGTTTCTTTTCCTGGCTTTCCCTCCTAATCTGCCTTCCTTTTCCTCAGCCTCTTCCATGTGGAGTGCAGTGATTGCTGCCACGCAAGCAGAGCACTCCTGATGTGCCAGGCACTGTCCTGAGCACTCTGCTGTGTAACAGCACTTTTAGTTCTCACGGTGAGGTAGCGGGTGTGTGGTGTTAGCAACACATTTTACAGATGAGGGAATTGAGACACAGCTTAAAAACTTGTCCCGGAGCACACAGCTGATAAGTGGCAGGATTTGGAGCTGGTTATAAAAGCCAGTGGATTATCCACTTCCTGTAGTTAAATAGAGGAACTTTGATGCATTGAGTGTTGCTTGGTAAGTATTCAGCAGCTGAAGGTTATTTAATGTGTATTAAGAATTATTATGGCCCGGGATGTAGCTCAGTGGTTCCACCGCCTGCCTTGCAAGTGTAAGGTCCTGAGTTTGATCACTGGTACCAAAAAAAAAAAGAATTATGTTCTACACATGTAAAGGGAGTGGGGCCAGCGCTGTGTGTGAAGAGTGACTGAGGGCCTGGGGTTAGGGATCGGCTGGAGATGATACCTCCTTGGATCTTGGGAACCACCATCTGGCTGGCTCCTCACCTCTTCAGCGGGGCTGTGGGCGCCCGCACGCCCTCGCTCAGCAGTGCCTGTTGCCCCTCCTCCTCCAGCCCTGAACCTCCCCGATGTGTTCGGCCTGGCTGTCCTCCCCTTGGAGCTGAAGCTGCGGATCTTCCGGCTCTTGGATGTGCGCTCCGTCCTGTCTCTGTCTGCAGTGTGTCGTGACCTCCTCAGTGCATCGAACGACCCACTGCTGTGGCGGTGTTTGTATCTGCGGGATTTTCGAGGTGATTGCATGACGTGGTAACAAGAAGAGGGCTTTTTCCTGCTGTGGTGTTGTTTCTCTCAGGTTCCTGAAAGTTTTCAGTTATGGATGTTTGTTTTAGAGTTGGAAGTGATGAGGGATGGCCTTGGAAGAGAGAGTCTCAGCTTCACTTACCTTTGCTTGTGTCCCCCAAACATTCATTTGTGCGTCCCTGCCACACGCGTGACTCGCTGTACCGAGTGTGCATGTTACTTCAGGATAGTGAACCGGGAGTGAAGCGGGTTTTCTAGGCTGAGACCATCGCAGCTCCTGACTTGGGGCGACCTGCATTCTGACTCACTCTGGGGAGCCCAGTGGCTGGCGGCCAAGACAGCTGGGTCCCTGTGGTCACATTGGGTGACTCTGTGCTCTCGCGGCAGCGATGACCACCTGAAACAGCGTGGGGATTTCTCGATCAAGGCCCAAAGCCCGGTCATGCTGCTTCTTTTCTGCCACCATGTTGCTGCTCATCAGTGCTTTTCAGCCTGTTGTTCAGTCCCGCAGTGGGTCATGAAATCAGCCGAATGAGTTATTGTATAAAAAAAGCCAGTAATTATTTGATAAAATGTATTTGTTTGAAAATAGGGATAAACTTCTATTCAGTCTTGTATGTTGCAGGTAAAATGATTTATGATGTGGCTCACATCAGCAAGTCTGAGTGGTAATGTGCCCGGTGAAATTCACTTCCCGAGCAGCTGCAAAAGTTTGGTGGGCAGATCTGCTCCCTACTTCCACGTTTCTTAAAAATAGAATATCATGGGCCAGGAATGTAGCTCAGTGGTGCCGCTGCCTGCCTCGCAAGCGCAAGGCCCTGAGTTCGATCCCCGGTACCAAAAAAAAAAAAAAAATAGAGTATCATGTGGGGTCATTGGAGGTGTTAAATTTTTTTTCAAACCTAAAAATGTAAGAAGTATGAATGACTTAGTTTCCTGTTCCTCCTCTTTGATTCCTAGGGCCTTGTTCTACTTTATCCAAAGTTTAAAATGCTGTTCTGTCACAATTGGCAAGTGTCATTTAAAAATTAAAAAAAATTTTTTTTAGTCAATAAGAAAAGACCAAAATGACCAATGTATATAGAACAACTGACGAAGAACAGGCTATGATGTAAATACTCACAGAAGGAACAGATACCTGCGTTTGTGCGCCCATGTTCAGGTTTAGGGCTTGATTGGCCTCTTCTTTCTAATTGGTTCCTGGGCTCGTTAGTAAGCCGCATGTCCCCGTTGATACAGCGTTGCGGGGCTGGAGCATCCACAAATCTCAGTTCCGCGTTCCTGTAATCACTAGTAGAGAAGACAGCACCATCTTTATCTGAACTCTTCCTTAGACCTAAAGTAGTTTGGGATCTTCCTCATTTCACCTAAGTAAGTACATTAAGAATGCCCAGTCACAGTCATCCTCTGGTGGTTGAGTCACTCAGAGTGTGGAGGGAGGAGATCGTCCAGCCTGGATTCAGAAGAAACCCTGAGTGAGCCTGAACAGTCGTGGGCCTGAGCCGGGTCCTCAGTTGGGTTTGGCAGGAGCTGTGGGGAAGCAGCTGCACAGCCAGGTGGTCTAGGAGAGCGAGTTGGGGGCACTGGTGTGGGGACACGGTCCCTGAGCCACCAGGAAAGGGTCCAGCGGGCTCCGGGAGCGCAGATGACCATGCGTGTGCTGCGAGGGCCATGGGTTCTTGTGTGTGACAGCTCAGCTTTAGTTTGGTTAGGACAGAATGAACCCACTGTTCAATGCTGGAGGACCAAATGTGTGTAATTCTGTATTTTTTGTTTTCTTCTATAGATGGTTCTGTCCGAGTTCGAGACACAGATTGGAAAGAGGTAGGTATTTTTAAATGTGAAAGCTAATGTCCATGACACAGAAATCACTAGTGAATTAATAGCAGGACGTACTTCATTTTTATTATGATGTAATGATACCTGTTTGCATTAAGTTTATTGGTAAATTTTAGTAAATGAAAATGTTTTCATCTTTTGCTTTAGACTTAATCTTTATTTTCCTGTAATTACATGGGAAAGATGTCTTAAAACAATTACTTTTCATCCTAATATAAAATATTCTTATTTTTGGCAAAAGTATTTGAATTGTCTTTGTACTGGAGTAGTCTCCAGCTGTTTAGGTAAAGTGGTACATTTGAAAAGTATAAGGAACATCTTATTTGCAGGTAACTACTGACAGAGATACCAGCAGGACTGAGAGAACTCCTTGGGACAGAGTAGGGAATAAAATTCAATAAAAATCCTTACTGTGTACCAAATACGCAGTACTGTTCTCTAGAGTATGTCCCATCTTCTAAAACAGCCACCTATGTTTTATTTTAAATTGAGGTCAACTGGGGACCTAATGTAGGTGACACACGAATTGAAATGTTGCCATCACCCTTCCAGTACCTGAACGCTGCGTTTTCCACTGTGGAGAAGGCCAGCCTGTCACTGCAGGCCAGCATAGCATGGCTGCAGAGCCGAGTCCCGAGTCAGTGCACCGAGCTAGCTCTGCTCTGGGCCCATTGCTGCAGCGCAGTGGCAGTGGGGTGAAAGAGTAAGGTCCCAGCCAAGCACCGTGGTGCACCCTGTAATCAGCCCTCGGGAGGCTGGGCAGGAGAGTCGCATGTCCAAGTCCTCCCTGGGAGACTTAGCGCGAGCCTGGGGATGGGGCTCGGCGGTGGGGCCCCGGGGTCCATTCCCAGTGCCACCGTGAAGCACCGCGCGGTGTCGTCTTTTTGTGCCCTGCCGCGCGCGCGCGTGGGAAGGGTTCGCTGGGTCTGTGTGGGGAGGGCAGGGTGGGAGCTGGGGCACCCGAGCCACTGTGTCTTGTTCTTCCTCCCCACAGCTGTACAAGAAGAGGCATAGACACAGGAAGGAGGCCCAGAGGGCGCGGCACGCGAAGTTCCTGCCGCCGCCCCCCCATCCCATTCCGTTCTATCCCAGCCCCTTGCACCCCAGCCCCTTCGCCCCCAGTTCACTCCTCCCTCCGGGTATCATCGGCGGCGAATACGACGAGCGGCCAGCGCTTCCCTACGTCGGGGACCCGATCAATTCCCTCATCCCGGGGCCCGGGGAGACGCCCGGCCAGTTCCCCCCACTCAGACCTCGTTTCGACCCGATCGGCCCCTTCCCGGGACCCAGCCCCGTGCTGCCCGGGCGAGGCGGCACGGGGGACAGGTTCCCCTTCAGACCGGGCCGGGGCCGGGCCTCCGACAGCCGGATGTCCTTCATGTGATTGGGGTGCGGCCTTGCTCGCCTTGGAGGGGCCCAGCAGCGCTGTTTCCTGTTTGCTGATGGCGGAGAGCTGCCGCCCCCGCCCCCGCCCCCGCCCCCGCCTTCATGTGATTGGGGTGCGGCCTTGCTCGCCT